TGTTTAGGAGATACCTATATTCATATGAAGTTTTTTTCTTAGAATACATCCAAAAGTAAAGTAAAGATTTCAGTTAACGTCTCCTTTTTTCTGCCAGGGCTAATCTGGACGGGGCCTACTTTGTTTATGCGGAATCCGAACCGCGGTCCTCGGCCATCCTACCGACTTAGGAAGTGTCTAAATCAACTCTTACTCACGAGATATCCGATCTCATCCGGCCTCGAACCGGCGTGAATGAGCAGTGTGTATCAATAGATTTTACACTTTTCCCTTGGACAACAGCACGATACAGAGTTTCGAACCGGTTACCCGTCCATCCACCAGTATCGCCTTACGTCTCTTAACTTCGGTGTTCTATTGGGAACCGATGTTTCAACGTAGCTATGCCGTTGCCTCGATAGAAGAGAATACATCCAAGATTCACCTCCTTAAATATTAGCATGTTCTTAAGGAACACCTTTTATAGAAACTAATAAATTTTGCGAGAAAGATTTACTCCTAATCAGAAAAATGTTGCCCACAATCCTTTGGTCTCATGGAAAATATCTACTTGCCACCTTTGTACATCAAATTAGGATTGATCAAACAGTTGTGAAAGCAACGGACAACACAGGCTTGTGGCGACTGACGATAGATGAATATGTTTAGATTTTGATCAGACTGTAAAGAGGACTGTCTTCTAGAATAGAGGTAACCCTATGCTTAGGGTACAAGGCCATGGGATGTAACATATCTCCTAAAATGCATTTTCTCCACTCGCACCTAAACTTCTTTTCTGAAAATTTAGGAGCACTCACAGATGAACACGAGGAACTGTTCAATCAAGATATCGCTAAGCTGGAGAAGAGATTTTCAGGGAAGTAGAATGCAAGCAGGTTGGCGGGAGTACTGCTGGTTTTTTGGGACGAGGAAGTTATATCTCAGGATAAAATGGCAAGCAATTTAATATTTTGTTTAGAGTGAAAATAAGTATTTTCATCTCTCCAAATTAAATTCATGTCTATGAAATTATTATCGAAAATTGATTGATAGAAATGGGAATTCCTCGATAATGGAGCGTGGTAGAAGAAGACGGGAGCTATATATTTGGATTGAGGACATCATTTTACTTAGGAATCAGCAGGAATGGTGCTAGGGCTCGAGAAAAAAACTTGCCCGACCAGCGTATTTATCGGAGATAGTCTATCCATTGGCGCGCGTTCTCGTCGATCGCTCGAGATCACAGCTGGGCTATCACTGGGCCCGGCGATCGGCGTTTACTTACTTCTCTGCCGGCACCCCGACGGAGACTGGTTGGTGCTCGTCGCCGTTCCGCCGACAACAACAAACTACGACCGGGAGCACCCTCGCACTGTCACGTGGTCGACGGTGTGTTCTCCCCCCTCTCTTCCGCCTTGTTGTCTACTGCCGCGGGACGAGGAGGAGCAGGGGAGGAGGTTTTTGGCGGGACTAGTCTCCGTCCTTGTCCGTTGTCGCCTTGTCCTAGGTCAGTAAGGCGGTCGACGGGCGCCACTGGCGTCGTTCGCCATGTTATGCTACGCCACTGGAGCCATGCGTTGTCGGCAGAAAAAAAAACAAACCGTGACGCATCGCCGTGCTTACGCGGGTTTCGTGATAGTATTGCTGGTTTGTTGTTTGATTGGGCAATGGCTATCGGCCACTGACCTAAGGTTCAGGGCTCAAAGAAATGAGCAGCGATGAAACGAGCGCTTCGGCCTAGTTCAGGCGCGGCTAGTAATTTAGTTGAGTAGCGAGTATCCACTAATCAATTGATTTTGCACATTTATTGAAATTAGGACCCATGGTTAGAATTTTAGAATATGAAGTAGTGATGCCAATGATGTTTGAAAATGCATATCTCAAGAGATGAAATTACATATCTCAAGAGAAATGTAATTAAATATTTAAATAAGGACCTGGCTCCACCCACCCGAAAAGTGAGCCGCAGCTCGAAACCGATGTTCCATCGGGAGTTTCTTCTCCTATTATTTACTAGTATCCGTTTATCATAACCAATAAAATAACATAATAATCTGTATATTATATAGAACACACTAGATACTTATTATACCGTATGATCGAATAAAAACGGCGTCAGCCTTTTATAAATATAAAAAAGCCTTTAATTGTAGCATCTGTAATCTATATTAATATTATGATGATTCATATTGTTCTAACCTCTTTACCCTCTAACACAAAACAACAAGAAAAATAAATGAAAAATGCAATACAAATTAACTCATTAGCCGCACCACTGCATCTAAACAGCAAAGAGCGTCCGCGAGCTGACATCACAGCTCGGAACGCCCCTTGTCGATCACGTGGCGATAGTCTAGTCAAATTGTATTTTTTGAGGGAAAGTTTTTGGAGTAATTCTGATTCATTTTTTTTGGGAGTTGAATAGGAATCTGATGTTTACTAGCAAAATTTCTTGGCAGAACATTGAAAAAAAAAATGCAATAAAATACTTAAAAAATTGAAATTTTTGTGGTATGTGTGGGGTGAAAGTGAAGTTATGTAACAAATGCCTGTTAGCATAATATTTTTTAGTATAGTATAAAATGTGTCTTGGTAAAAATCGCTACGAGCAACTGTATTAAAAATATTTAAAATTGAAATAGTCATATGTCATTATTGGCAAAAAATAAAAAAATGTTTTTTCAACCAAAAAAACTTTCTATTTTTTAAGCTAATCTTGAATTTTTTTCTAGAAAAAAACTACGATAAAACACTTTCTGTTGAATCTTTGTTACAAAAACATTTCAAATTTATTACTTCAAAATAACTATCTAGTCTACATGTATAATTTTTGTCAGTTATGACATGTATTGACTATTTTGATTCCAATTATCTTGAGAACCATTACTCGTAGCGATTTATACCAAGAGGCCTTTTTTACATAAAAAATGACGGAAATGTTTTTCCGCTGGGTAGTGAATACACTTAATACTTTTCCAACAGCTAAAAAATATGTCGGTTGCGCTCTCTGCAAGTAGGTATAATAATGACGTCGAAATACTAACGTTAGCTCAGAAATCATTTTGAAAAAATCGAAACAAAAATTAAACTTCTACACCCTGTATCTCCGAAACGAAGCATTTTAGGACATTAATTTATAATATACTGACGAAGTTTCCCCAATATACGTTTTGGGACCACCCTCTACATAATGCATATGTTACGGTTAAGATCCGATATTCGGTTAATATTGACATTACCCGGTTAATTTCGAGAATAACACACAACCAAACAAACAAAAACCTAACCAAACCCAAACATTATAGTTATTAATGATACAAGTTCGATACGAACATCATAATGAAACGCGTGTAACGTTAAGCCACGAGGCGTCAGCCAAGTGGCTTATTTACACAAGTTTCATTAAAAAATTCGTATCGAACGTGTATCATTCAAAATTTAATCTACGACGCGACACGAAGGACGATCCAAAAAGATTAGATTTAATTTAAAATATCAGAGATATCCTCATAAAAATTAAAATTCAAAATTATTAGGTGCCCATATTAGTCGACGCCGTGGTAACCGTGCTTGTTGATTGTTTCCATTTTGACTTTGACAATTCAATTATTGATGTTCAAGTTTGTGTTAAACGTTCAGTTTTAGCAAAAAGCAAAAAATAATAATATTAATATGGGTGATTCTGATTCTGAAAGTGTCCCTTCGGATATTGAAGGCATTGCGCAAAACATTGTCGATTCCCTGCTTCCCGAAAAATCAAGACAAACGTACGAGCAAGCCTATGTAAAACTTGAAGATTGGTGTAAAGGGAAAGGAATTAAGAATAGTAGTAACGAAAAGGTTCTCCTGGCATATTTTGAACATCTTTCAAAACATAGGAAGGCTTCATCACTTTGGGTATATTATTCCATGCTACGTTCAGTTATATCAGTGAAGAAAAATACAGATATTAGTCGCCATTTAATTGCATTTCTAAAAAGAAAATCGGAAGGATTTCGGTCAAAAAAATCGAAAATTTTAAGAAAAGGAGACATAACTCGTTTTTTGTTGGAAGCCTTTGGAAGAATGATAAAACTTATTTCCTGACAAAAGTTTCATTGATAGTGGGACTTGCGGGAGCCTGCCGGCGTATCGAGTTGACAAATCTGCATCTGCAAAATGTTAAAGATGAAGAACAATGCATTTACGAAAACAAAGATATCACGAGATTTTTTATATTTTATTTATTTTAGATTTTAATAAATATGGTGGAAATGGTTCGAATATAGCTATGCGGCCAAGCAACACAGAGCATACTCGATTTTTTGAGGGGTACAGAAGTGGAAAATGTATTAAGCAACCCGTTGGCATTAATACTTTAGGGAAAATGCCGTATAAAATAGCATTGTTCCTAAGTCTGCCAAATCCACAACAATACACTGGACATTGTTTCCGTAGATCGTCTGCGTCGTTGCTTGCAGATTCAGGAGTGGATTTATTAACTGTTAAAAGACGTGGTGGTTGGCGCTCTAACACAGTGGCAGAGAGCTATATGGAAAATTCCAAAGAAAATAAGAAAAAAGTGTCATGTAATATTTTGGGTAACATTTCTGGCAATGATGGGTCTTCAACAAGTTCAAACACTCAGGAAATAAATTTACTTTTTTTAAAAATTCAACTCACCTGTCATCGTCTGGAATTAATTTAACCAATTGTACTGATATTATAATTAATATTTACAATAAATAAACGTATTTACGTACCTTTTTTTGCTTGTTTCTTATTTTAAAATTTGCGTGTTATTATGAATTCATAATAGCAATAGCACTAGTGAATATGTCATGAATGTATATGTCATATGTGAATGAAGTCATAATAGCACTATGATGATGCCCCTTATAATATAGTACATCTCTCTACTTATTTAGCAGAGCATGATTGTTATTTCCGATTTCAAAAAAAACGGTTGGTCTTGTTTCAAATTGGCATTTATCCTATGACTTCACTACACAGACTGAGTAATGTTTTCTTATTGTTTTTAGGTACCTGGACCGATGGGAGAAGGTGCACAACTTGGGCGACGAGGCGGATCGGGCCAGCGACGACGACGAAGAAAGCCGGCACAAGAGGTTTTCTTCGCGTGCTCTTCACTCCGTGCCGCACTCCTACAACTATTCGCAGCACAACGTAGCCGGTGAGTATAGGTCACCGATCAGCTGATCTCTGCGCCAGTCAATAGACCCGCTCCCTGTAATGCTGGAGTGCAATTTTGTTCAAGTTAGCAACCGATCGTTTAGAAGCGATGTCGAAACTAGATCGGTACTATGTTCATTGCAAACCTAGTGTCGCTCAAATGCTGTGAAATATGGTATCACTATCACACTCTTGCACACGTGTCTAGACTGTCGCCTCGCCACAAAGCGAGAAATCAGAATATCGCTACGAATCGATGTTGCTACTGAACATAGTGCATCAAGCTACAAATTACTTTGCTATCGCTTTGAAACATGAACAAAGTTGCACCCCTGGGACCACAACAAACTATAAATCCGGCGGTATTCGCCGACTAGCCGGCTGTCAACTCGCACAAGGCTCTGAAATCACGAAGTCACAGCAGTAAGCATGGTAGGGTAGACATATCGTCAGTGAAACGTGAAAACCTGCTAACTCCATTTTTTAGGTTAATAAGTTTTTTCATACCATTAGAAAGAGAAAAAAATACTCTATAAGTAGGGAAAGCAAAGATATTTTTTCCCATTAAAGAAAAATTTTTATTTTAACTCAATAATATCTGCTAACTCCTAGTGATCTGAAATAGCCACCGAAATACTGCTATCTCCGTAATTTTCGTTACGATCACGCTACAGCAAACACACAGATTCTTAGTCGTATGTTTTTTAGTTCAGTACGTCGATCCAGGGTCGCACTAGGCCAAAGGGGCCTGGGTGGCAATGTAAGGAGGGGCTAGTATGTTTTTTTGGCGTATTTTTTCGCCTTACGTTTTCTTCAATTTTTCCCTATTATATGCAGGGTGAGTCTTAAATAAGTGCAAATATTTTTAGGGTAGTATATTTCGACCCAAGAAACACGATTATGAGGTTTTTTGCGCGAATTTTTTTTTTGAAAATTTGGAATTTAAAAAAAAATTGGATTTTTTTTAATTTTTAGTTTAAAAACATACTTTGTTTGTAATATGGTAATATAGGTAGTAGATTAAATTTACAAGAAAGAAAATCCAATGATTCTCAAAATTATAGCAAAACATTGGAAATTTTAAAAGTGAAATAACTCGGTTGTTTTGGATTTATTTGAAAAAAAAACGGTAAAGAGAAAATATTATGTTTCTTTTATCGAGATTTACCAGCCCTGCACATATTTGCACTTATTTAAGACTCACCCTGTATAGAAATCAGGGAACTACCCTATGCAATGCAAATTCCATAATGCAATGCAAAAGCAAATATTGTTGAGAATAATAATTATTCTTAATTCTCATTAATTATTAATGAACTATAAAGGCCCCCCCCCCCTAATACCTATCTATATAATATGGCCAGTCCGACCCTGCGTCGATCCGTCCTGTAAATACGGGGTATCCATAAAGTGTAAGGGGAAAAACGAAATTCTCTATACACGAGCAATTCATCGGCGTGCTATAAATAGTTTAAAAAACATTACTTACTTGTACAAGAAGTTCCATAATACCCAATCAGTTTTATTTTTTTCAACGTATTTTCACATAAATGATACATAATTTCTATAAAAATTAAAAAAATAAGGAGAAAAGTAATAAAAATTTATTAAAATCACGCACCGTCTTCCAAGCTCGGTCTACTACCGTTGTACAAAAATTAGGATAAGCATGGAAGGATTCTATCATATCTTCTAAGAATTATAAGTTTAATTTTTAAATAATTTTCATATTCATTAAGTCCAAAATTCTGCTACTTCAGTTCTTTAAAAATGCCAAAAATTTTAAAATTTCCATTAAAAATTTATTCGTTTTTGGACTTGTGTTTTGCTTCTAGACCGACGATATTATAAATATATGGTTATGAATATCATATTTTTTAAATTTAATTGATTATAAATCTGTTTGGGTAATATTCATTTCCACTTTCAAAATTTCAAACAATAAAAGTTGCTATCTCCAGAAGTATATTTTTATTTCTTATTTCTGCAAGACGAATATCTGCTATCTGCCTATTGTGTCGGAAAAAAATGACGTAACACGAAATATTGAGTTTTATTGTTCCCCAGCAAATAAAATTCTTATATCTTTATCATATTAACGCATCAAAATACTTCCCACATGTGTACATATTTTTTTTGTACCGTTTTTTTGCTCTCCTCTAAAATTAGGAATAATGGACTTAGCAGTTTATCACGTTTCACAGACGATATAAATCATTTGAAATGTTAGCGCTGTTGTCAGATGGTACTTATTATTGCGTTATGAACGGCAGAACTAAGTAATGCCTAGCTATATCCTTCCCACGAAAGCAGCTGTGGTTCCGTGGGTAAGGTCGTCGCATCGAGAGGTCCCAGGATAATCCCACAAATATAGAACTTTTTTATTTTTTTACCCGACCGATTATCGTTTATGCTTTTTTCTAGCCTTATGGGCTAGATTCAAGAATTTATCTAAAATCGTTTTTTTTTTCGTAAATATCATAATCTTCATGTCTTTTATCTTTTCTTTTTTTTTCTTAAAGCAATTTTCAAAAAGGTGAAAACTGGCAACGCTGTAAGCAAGGACTTCGAGATTTTAGAGCCTTGTCCCAATTCGCGCGGCTTGCCTCGGCGAGTAGACTTCGAGGAGACCCCTGACTCGCGAGGAGACACCGTGTTCATGGATCACACTGTCGTATGCAGCGATGAACAACTTTCTGTCGTTAGTGTTCTTTGCCCTGTACGAGAATGATCTATTGCTTTACCTTCAGTTTCTGACTTCAATTTACAAAGCGTCTGTAATTGACATCAATGAATCATGCAGCTTATTATTTATATTTTGTAATATTCCTTTTAGGATTCTATAAATTGTCTTCTTTATGGTGTAGCTCAATCAACAATGTCTTTTTCATTTTACTCCGGTTCTATACTCTTAGGTCTTTTCTTCCTAATCCCTTCTCAAAGAAAACCGCCAACGCTTGACTATAAAGATATTTCACCATACGAGTGAACCAAAAAAAAAGGACTAGTCGCTGGTCGCCGGTTGCTCAATATTCGTTTGATCTTTACCGACAGTATCCGCAAGCATCCCGAGCTGCACGAGTCGTGTCGCCGGCTTTTGGTTGCCGCAACTTTTTATTGGTTTCAACAACCTGACTCGCCGAGTTTTGCGATTGCTCAATACTCGTTTGATCTTTACCGACAGTATCCGCAAGCATTCCGAGCTGCATGAGTCGTGTCGCCGGCTTTTGGTTGCCGCAACTTTATTTGTTTCAACAACCTGACTCGCCGACTTTTGCCGGCGTCACAGGCCGCCGGGCCGGATTTGCACAGTTTGGTGTAGTCCCGGCGTTAGAAAGGCGATCTTCTCATTAGAGACTTTTTTCTTAAGAGGACCGAAAAAAAATATCGAAATATTCCACGAGTACAGGAACCTAATAGCCCGTTCACACTGGCTGTTTCGATTGTTCTGTCGAATAACAATATCGAATGTTACAGTGGTGCATGGTTTTTAAATGGGGCTATTCAGATGATTGATTGTGTGCCGTATTTGAACTTTTTTCTGGATACGACTGTTTCTGTTTTCTATTTTCTATTTAGATTCTGCGTAAAATTCTATAACTTTTAATTTAAAAATTTTATGAAGAATGCGATTTTCTCAAAATGTCAGTAATGAAAAAGTTTTTCCTCTTGTAAAGACAATCCGGGGACATACTGTATAATAATTTCCCGCTTTGCATTGCAATTGTACTAACTTATTTCATTGTAATATAAAATAAACTAGTTTGAAAAATAATTAATCACTGTCAATGATTTTGTCGTTGGACAGACTATAAATAATCGGTCGACAATAACTTAAGCCAAAAATATATTAAATGTTTTTTCAAAGTAAGCGCTCATAAATACAAATAATGTTAGTTTTGGAATGCCCAAATTTTACAGCTTCATAAATATTTATTCGTCGAATATACGTCAGAACATTTGAATTAAAAATAAAATTACCCAGGCAAGATTCGGTCTAAAGAAAATACTGTTAGGTTTTATAAGATCTTTAGTGATTTAATTCTGGAGAATTCTTGAATGAGTTTCTATAAAACTTTCAGAAAATTATTTAAAAATAAAAAAAATCTTTATGTGAAAAACGTCTCGAATGTCTAAATGCAACATTATTATGGATCAAATATTTACCGTATGATCGAAAAAAAACGACGTCCAGTTGGCTTGGAAATGGCGATCAATGACATTCCCCATATAATTTTACATATAAAATGACAGCGATTTTCATTTCATAGCCATCGCTGACGCCGTTTTTTTCCCGATCATATAGTATAATTATTATGGTTTTAGAAATCAATTATCGACAAAGCGGTTGTGAGTGGGACATGATGTGTCTGTAGCTTATAACAAACTGCCAAATCTTAAATGTCTGGATATTTCGCCACTGAAAGAGAAGTATAGGAAATAAAAGTTGTTTTTTTTTGTGAAATACTTCTGTCATTGTTTGGATCATCATCTGACGATAATTCTTCATTAATTCCTTCGACAGATTGACAGACTTTACTTTAAAGGGGAAATTAAAGTCAGTTAAAAATAGTGTACTCTTGCCTTTGTGAGTACTCGTCAGTACATTTTAGTATAATAGATAAAATTCTTGTTTGTTAAAATTGTGAGATCAACATACAATCGCAACTGTATATTAACAGTTAGCCACACATATTTACATTTATATTTTATATCTTATCTCAGATTAAATGCTAACGGCCTTTTTCAAACACATACGAGTAAATCAATAACTTCTATGGCCTATTCCTGTACATTGAACTAAGTTTTATTCATTGTAAATTTTATTTAATGAATTTTGTGTACTGTTCAAGTATCGTTATAAAACGTTCGTGTCTACGATATTGTTTAAACACTAAACAGTACATAAATGTTTGTATGTATATTAAATGGCATTAGAGTGTAAAAAACTTTAATATAGTAGATTATTCATTAACGAAACAAGGAAACCAAATTTGTCTTTGTGCTGGCATAGGTCAGCAGAAATAATTCCGGTCCCGGGTCTGCCAGTGAACTTAGGGGAGTCAGGGGGTGGATCGATACATCGCAGATGGCGCCACAGCCGCGGTGGCTGCTGTTCGCACCTCCACGGCCGCCGACGCGACGTTGCCGCTTCTCCGACATACCTGAAAGTATGACCCAGGGATATGACCTAGTGGGAAAACGTACTAATTTCTTTACAATAATCGAAATTTCTAAAATCGGTAATTTCATTATATTACATATACCATGTGATCGAAAAAAAAACGGAAAATAAAAGTGAAAATGCAAGAAAACAAGTTATTCCATTATTTCCTTCGATTTTTGACCGAGATCTACCGTACGCTATACACAACCACTTTACATGAACATTATTTTTTCAAAGTTTAGAGTTGTTTACTATTTACTTAATTTCTCGATCTTTTTCTAGTCATTGTAGGATTGATTGAAAGAATACATACAAAGGAAAAATATCCAAATATATTTTCCTTTTTTCAGGGTAATTATATAAAGCCGGCAACACCGGCGGAGACTATAATTCTTCCAGAATCAATCGGTCTCTTTCGACACGTCGGCGTTGTTTCGGCAATAATCCGTGTTTTGGTTAGCGAATCGCAGTAGAGATTTCACTGCGTGACATGACCGGATGGGGTGTCGCTACCGTTTAACCCCTGCATCCTGCACCGTTCTGCTAGGGACTGGACGATGGCGGCGTTGTCGGATTTCGTGCTACGAAAGTAAAAATACTGAATTGCAGAAATTGAAATACTTATATTGGGTGTGCCATCATTCTCAGATTAAAAACATCGTAAACTAACCATAGTAATAATGTTGATTTAGAACGATAACTAGTTTATTTTCGTATTTATTACTATATCAGTACTATCGTGTGAAAAAAACGGCATCCATTTGGCGTGGAAATAACACAAAATTTTACGTACAAAATGACGGCGATTCTAAGCCATCTCCGACGTCTTTTTTTTTGATTATTTTAATTATGGTTCTCATTTATTTCTTGGTTCGACGTAAAACAAAATCGACAAATTTATTATTGAGTGTAGAGTGCAACCTATTTTTAATATTTAAAAAAACTATTGTCATCGATCAACCTGAAATCAAGTCAGTCGGTGAAATTCCTTTGCGGTCTTGCCAGGTTTGTTGATTTATGATGAGCTGACAACGTTGGGTATTGTAATAGCCACAAGAGAGTCCGAAAGAGAGTGGCAATGATTATATTAGTTTTTTCCGATGCATTGGGTTGATTAATTTGAGGGGCTGTTATTTTTTTGCCTTTTTGGGGCTTTTATGAATTTTCTATACATTATTGTGATGTTTAAAGAAATATTAAAATTGGAACGAAGCTATATATTTTGCCTAAAACCAATTATAAAATAAAAAGAATTAATAAAAATAAACACAGAAAACACAACTCGCAAATTATGTATTAATTATATATGTATATTTTATTACTTTTTATTTCAAATTACAAACTAAACTATCAAAAAACGTTTCTTATGTTGTCGCCCTAGTTAGTTTCCAATGTATGAATATAAAGATAATATTTCGCTCTTTCCTTAGTTTATTTATTCAATGGTACAAGTTTAACGATATTGTACTAATTGATTATATCTTTATATGTATAGAAGACAGGCGGGAGTACAATCATATGGACATCAACCTCTACAAGCAATCTGACTACGATCGGCTGGCTCTGTCCCTTATATCACCGCTTCCTAACGAACAGGATTTTGCCATCAACGTGTGCACCTTACTGTCAAACGACAGCAGACATACCTTGAAACTGGAGCGCCATCCTAGGATCATCACCTACCTATTGGCTCACGCAGGAATTTTTAATCACAGTAAGACACAACTTCTATTTACAGGGTTGAAACGATTTAAATAACTATTAAAATGACTTTATCTATGACACTCTATATGCAAGAAATGTAGTCATAAAGAGGTCTTGTCCAACTGATAGAAGTCAATAGCTTCTTCGTCCCACTTGTCAACTCGCATACCCCAACAATGTTGCCGTTTGCTGTCGCCTTATTTTATGAACGGTTTTAAGAACGGCGGAAAGTAACGGCTAGCTATAGCCAATTTCGCAAGAGCAGCTGTGGATCCATTGATGAGGCTGTCGCTTCAGAATCGAGAGGTCCCAGGTTCGGGTCCCACAAATATAGAACTTTTTTATTTTTTTTACAGCTGTTTTTATTTTTTAAAAACGTTTTAAAAAGCTATTTTTTAAAAACAGCTGTAAATATGTAATAACAATCAAAACACCACATAGGCGTGTCTTGATTGCGTTGGATAGTCTCTGGGGTAAGTTTTTTTTGTTTAGATTGCACGCAAAATACCCGACCGATTATCGTTTATGCGCGTGTAGAACTGCGAAATTAGGGGACAACAAACGGCAACATTGTTTGGTATGCGAGTTGACTAGTGGGATTTAGAAGCTAGTATAGAAGTCTAGTTAAACAAATAAGAGAAATTGGAAAGGGTAATGAATCAATTCAATAAGTATGTAAGAAGATAGAGTATTAAAGTTAAGACAAATTGATTTTGTGAAATTTTTAGTGCTTAAATTCAGAACATATATTTTGTTTTCGGCGACAAAACACAAACCTAAATTTTCAAAAGTCTTCATCGTAACCTAACTTAACAAGTGATTATAATTTTTTCCAGGCTCTCTTCGAACTTTGTTCATGCACTTCTATGGTGACATCCGTAAGAAACCTATCCACAATTTTTGGAGCGACGCTCTCGAATCCGACGAATTCCTCGATCTCACCAACGAGTCCAAGTTCTACTCACCAACCAAAGAGGACACAAAACCTTGTGATACCTTGGTAAAGGAAGACTTTCTCAAATTCACCGGTGTCGATACACTGGAAAGTGATAAAACCTGCCAACCACCACCCAAAGAAACCAACGATGATGACGCCGAGTGTGAAATCATTGAAGACAGTCTTTCTTCGCCGAAGTATTTTAAGTTTAAGACTAATCCTGCGGATGGGGATTTGTTTTGTTTGAAACGAACTTTAGGTACTCAAGACTACGTTGGCCAGCGTGTGTTGCAGATCGCGACTATTCTACGAAATCTCTGTTTCTTCGAAGAGAATCTATCAGTGTTAACTAAAAATCACACGTTTATTCGGTTTTTGTTATTATGCGCGAGTTCTCAATGGAATACTTTGAGAAATCTAGGATTAGATATGTTAGGAAACGTGGCTAATGAACTCGAATTGAAAGATGCCAGCACTGATCTTATCGCAGCTTCAGTTTTCAAGATTATCAGTAAAAATATCCAGAGCGATGATAGGGCGTCCTGCTTGTCATCAGTTGAAGTCCTTAACAAGCTTAGTCAAAACGAAAAGAACGAAGATGTCCTTCTTAGATCCTTGGAATCGACTATATACAAAAAAGTATGTTCCTTTCTCACCATTCACGATGTGATGTTACTAATCTACACCTTAGAGTGTCTATATTCTTTATCGTCACTAGGAGAAAGATCTTGTACGTTTATCGCTAACAACCACGGTGTTATAGACACGTTGGTCTCGTTGGTAACCGTCGAAGGTAAAAGTTACGGGCCTAAGGCTTGCATAGGTATGAAATTGGTCGAGACTATTCCTACGGGCACTCAGATACAAGCAGGTCAGGCTCAGCCATCGCCTCAAGCTAGTCCCGTTCCTCAACAGATGTCGTCCCCGTCTACGTCTGTTCCACCCAATCCGGCTATCAACGCGATTAATAGTAGCATGGTGGCTTCGCCCGCAGCGCCATCTGTCACGCCTGTCAAGATGATCTCATCGACGCCCGCTAGGAACGTGCCTATGGCGCCGCAGAGATTGCTAACAACGCAGATGCAAGCGGTGCAGCCGATGCCACAAGTGCAGCAGGTTCCGCAGCAAACGGTGACTGTTCAACAGCAACAGCAGCATCCAGTGTCTGCGACTACACCAGTTAAGACAAGTAAGATATTAGACAATTAGTATAGACAAGTATTCTTATAAATTATCTATGATCATGCGAAACAATTTAATGTCACAAAAAAATTGTATTTAATCTAGTAAATTTTGTATTAGTGACAACTATGATGACCACTCCAAGTAAACCAATAGTTCCCACTGTTACAACCAGTACATCTTCAGTAGCTCCTCCAGCAGTTATACCAACACTAACTCCTCAACAAATGATTCAACAACAACATGCTCATCAACAGGCCATTCACGAGAATGAACAATTTGCTTTGGCTTGGCTGCGGGCAACCTATGAACCCTGTTTGGGGGATAACAGGTATTATATAAAATAATAGGCCTTTTTTTATTGGCGGGTTCATACAGCCAAATAAAATAAAAAATGAAACAAGGAATTCTTATTTATGAGCGTTCATACAACCAAATAAAATAAAATAAGAAATATATATTTGCTCATGTGCAATACGATGTAGCTGGATAAAAGTTAACTTTTATGATTGTTTATAGTAATTTTACTTAATGTAAAATTATAAAATAAAATAAATCCAAAATGAAATCATTTGTAGGTTACAATTAAGCGTGCGCAACACCGTTTTCACATAAAATAAAACAAGAAGTTAAAAGATAAACACGTCTTATTTTATTTGACTGTATGAACGCATGTACGGTATCCCATATAACCAACCTTTCTTATTTTATTTGGCTGTATGAACCATTAGTATACATAATTTAAATTATATTAATTTAACAATAAGCTAAGACTACTGTACTGTAGAAGAATACACTAAGGGCTTGGTCGTTCTATAAATCGGTGGTATTTCTTCTTTTTTGTTTTTTAGAGAAATAATGATATACTAATATTTTGTTTTCTTCTTTTTCTCAGAATTGATCACCAAGAATTATACAAACAGTATCTCAATTCCTGTTCAAAAATCGGGCGACGGGGAGTTATTTCACCATTACATTTTCCGAGATGTGTCAGGTAAGGTTAGAGATTTTAGTAACAAATATATTGTGTTTCTATTTTTATAGTAATTTTTTGTATTTGTATGGAAATTTTTGTATTATAAGGAAATAAAAACTGTAATCTGATTAATTATACTAATTACTTCGGCAACATATTCTGCAGATAAAAATAAGAAAAAAAGTTCGCATAAATTTATATTCTAAAATGTTTTGTTTGGGAGATACATGGTATAGAAATTTCATTTTTAATTTGGGTTTTGCCAAATAATATCTGAACTGGCGTTGATATTTGAGTAAAAATCGTGGGAATTGATTCACCATCAATCATCAGATATTAAGATATGTTAATTTTATTGATTTGACTTTTGTTGTAAAAGTAGTATATCTACATTTTCGTTATTACATACTATTTTTTAATACTATAGTTTTTACTATTTTTCTTTTCTTCTTTCTTAGGGTAGTAACGTAGCGGAGTAGTTCACCTCGCCGCGCTGCTCGCCGTTCACCTCGCCTTGCGATGATACTTAAAATATTTTACTACGCGACGAGTTGATTGGCTCCATTGTGTTTTGATGCATGAATTTGAAAAAAATGTCTATAAATCTGTTCGGATGCCTCTCTTCAAAAAACTCCTATGGGTATTTCGCTACTTGCACTTAAGAAAATCTACAAAATAAAATAGTTTTTCTTTGTAAACACTGCTGCCTTAATCCAACGGAGACCAACTTGTCGGCAGTGATTTACTAATAAAAAAATTTGCCTAACGGACAAAACATGTTTAATGTTTCGGGAAGTACAGTGCGACCTCGATAATCCGGACTAATTAAAACTGCGGTGATCCGGATTAGCAAATAATTCGGATTACTGAAGCGAGACAAGTTCAAAAACATTTTTTTTTATTAAACTAACTTATTTTGTAAAATAATTTGTAATTTTTTGTTGCTTGTTCTTTATTTGATTCATTATAAAGGCCGCTTCCTTTAATCATTGTAGGACAAGAACTTCAGTCAAAGGAATATCATTTTCTTCAGCCCACTTAATGCACACATTAAAACTCTTAACTGCTTCATCATTCTTAACAACCTTAACAGTCTGGTTTGTATTATTCATCTCAGAACCTTCATTATCACTTTCGCGTTGTTCATCTATACCAGTAGTTCCCAAACTTATTTTTCTCGTGGACCACTTTCAAAATTTTACTGGTTTCGGTGGACCCCCTGCTGCTACATTTCTACCACATTCTTAAAGTCGCCAAAAAATAAAAATTGTGTCACTTCTGAGTTCTGTCCCTATATTCCGATATGTAAAATAAAAACGAAAAATGGTACATTTTATATCACTTTATTTATTAAAAGAATAGAATTACAAGAAAAAATATTAAGGTAATATAGGTTCAGGTCATAATTTTAATTAATGGGAAGGATGTATCTGATGGAGTGTCAGCAAACGATCAATGTTTGGCTTTATTTTTGTGAGCAATAACCGCAAATCCCCCCGCTCTGTGATGTTTAATTTGCTCTTTTTTTTTGTTAAGAGGTTTGTAACGGCACTAAAACTCCTTTCGACAAGGTATGACGAGGGAAAAGCTATTAAAAATTTCCTTGCGATTTCCCACAGTCCAGGATATTTTTCGGGTATTTCTGCTTGCAGCCAAAATGTTGGGTAGCCTTTTCTAAATTTCACCTTCAGCTCCTCATTAGTGCTTAGCTCGAGCAGCTCCTCTTGTAATACAACATTGGCCACTTCCGTTTCATCAAATGGATTTATGATCCATGGTGGTATATCCATCGTCAGTATATCTTCAAACCTGGTTTTGAAGTCATCATGCAGAGCACTTAAATGTTGACTGTAGGTATGGATATCCTCATCAATACATTCTACCTGCGACAAGTTTGGAAATTGAGAGAATTCGCGCCGACTAATGTTTTGCTTCATAAATTTCAATTTCCCAAGAAAAGCCGAAATTATCCCCTTTGTTTTTATTAAATTCAGGCTGTCCCCTTGTAACTGCAAGTTAATATCATTAAATTTTTTAAACAAATCTGTCAAATACGCAATGTCTGCTTTGAATTTGATCAAGTTTTCTTTTAAATCTGGATCTCTACTTTCTAAGAACTCTAATATGGAATCGAAAACAGAGTAAAATCTCGTTAAGCATGCACCTTTCGACAACCAGCGTACTTCAGTATGTAAGAGCAGTCGTTGGAAGTCTTCATCATTTTCGTCGCACAATTGAGCAAATAAACGCGTATTCAATGCATTGCTTCTGATTTTGTTGACAGCTTTTATTACAAAATGAAGAGATTGGTTCAACCTGTCACTTAAATGTTTTGCCACAAGATGTTGTCGGTGGATTACGCAATGAATAGCTGTAAGTCCTGGTATAATTCTTTTGAGATGACTTATAAACCCACGATATCGCCCGACCATTGCAGGAGCTCCGTCTGTTGCCACTGAAATAATGTTTGTAAATGGGATCGATTTTTCCGTAAAAAAATTACTCAGGACATTAAATATTGATTCGCCTTTAGTGTCAGTCTCCAAAGTTCTGGCAAATAGCAATTCTTCGTGAATTTCTTCCTCAACAATAAATCGGACATATGCCAATAGTAATGCTTCATTACTGGGTAACGTTGACTCGTCCAGTTGTATAGAAAAATGAGTTTTTTGCAGATGATTGCACAAAAAGCTTTCGATATCAGAGCTCATTTCATCAATGCGTCTTTGTACAGTATTGTTACTTAATGGAATTCTTTTTAGTACGTCAAATGGAGATTTGTGCAAAACAGTTTTTAAAACCTCTTCAACAGCGGGTAAAATTAATTGTTCTCCGATAGTGTGCGGTTTTCCAGATTTTGCTATAAGTAATGAGATATTGTAAGATGCCCGCAAGCCATCATCGTTACTTTGAGATGTTGAAGCGAACATACTGTGCATGGTGGGTCTCTTTCCATATTTTTCTTTCAATGTTTGAAAATATTTTAAATCTTTACCTATTTTATCAGTATGACACCTTTTTAGATGATCTTCGAGCTTTGATGGTTTCATAGAGTCATTGCTCAAAACTTTGTTGCATAATAGGCACATGGGCAATTGTTTGTCTGCCTCTGATGGAACAAAACCATATTTCAAATAATCGATACTATATTGTCGACATTTTTTCTTTGCTGTAGCCATGTTTCGTGTCAGTTACCTTACCTGTAAAAAAAAAATGTTTTAGTAACCAAGTTTTTTTCTGAATATAGGTATCACACCGCAGCCTTTGTCAGCACGCGGAAATAGAATTACGGCTTGTAAAGGGACCAACTAATAAACCGCTGAGACAAATACAGACGTTTTCACAAAACGGTATCAATTTTAAAGTACATAATTTACCACTAATTTTTAATAGTATAAATAAAAATTGGTGTACTCAGTATCGAATACTGATCATATTTGTGTAGGAAAAAAATAAAAGTCGAAATCCCAAAATTGTCCATAAAAACGATAACTAACATTTTATTAAATCAATGAGTTCACGCGCTCCGTGTATTTGCGTATTTTTGTCTGCGGCTTCATTGTTAAAACGTGACAAACTGGCATCGAAGTCCAAGCCCCGCCCTTTTCCCGTCGCCCGCGCACCGCTCGCTCTTTCCGAAAAGGAATAGTTTTGATAAAATAGTTACTTCAAAACCAATTTAAAATGATTATGAAATTACTCTTTTATAAAATTAGTAGTTATTTGCAAGAAAAATTACAAAATTAATTGCTCTGCAATATTGCTTATTCGGCCTTTTTAGAGAGGCAGTGTTTCTCTCGTGAAAAACAATTGAATAAAACGTGCTGTGTTTGTCTTCAAATCGAAAGAGGACAATTAAAATATCTGTAAGTTACTAAGTTACCTATCTATACAGGCCGTTGTGATCAACCGACTAGTACACGTAAACAAAATACTTAAGTACTATAACAAAAAAAGGTAGGTTACTTACTTTTCTCCGGCACTAGCAAACACAGATATAAATTTTCTCACAACTTTTTTCCAAATTCCGCCTTTTTTTCGAAATTCCGGAAACAAATGAATGCGTTTGCCTTTGGCATCAAGTATTTATAGTGGTGATCAAGTTCATGTCTGAACAAGCATTAAGCATTGTCGGGCGGATAGCGCTTTGCAAGTCTGTACACGAAATTGTACGTAATATCGAATACGCAAGTTTGGACAAGTAACAGTCGCTTGCCTTATTAAAATATTATCTGCTTAGATAGGTACTTAAAACAATGTAGGTAGGCCCTTATAAAAACTATGCTTACATTTTTGCTCTTTACTATCAAAAGCAGATAAATTTTCGTGGACCCCCATTAACATCTTATGGACCCCCATTTTTTGTTCACGCCTACGTAGACCCCCAGCAAGTCTCCCGTGGACCCCTGGGGGTCCACCTGGACCACTTTGGGAATCACTGATCTATACCATCTACGTCCGAGTCTACGTCTTCCAGTGATAACAAATCCTCATCATTTTCAATCCAATTGGATATTTCCACATCCGTGAGATTTTGTTCAGAGAGAACATTCAGCATATTCGAAACATCTGTAAGAATATAAATTAACAATAAAAAGTATTGAAGTCTAAAAAATTGTATGTTCCTTACCTTTCCTCCTTCGTGATAAGGTGTTCTGGGGAAACACCAGAACACCTTATCACTGAGTGCGCCGAGACGACGACCATTCGTGCCATGAACCTTGGTACGTCTGATGTCGAGGATGGAGAGCTGGCCTCTGTGGAGCCGTCTCAGATACTGGCTTTTCTTAAAGCCCTGAGACTGTATGATGAGTTATTACTCGTTATAACTCAAGAAAGGGGAACACACAATAGATCTATAAGGTCGCGGTGATTAACTCCCCTCCTAAACATTCTACATTCTACCTTTCACTTCTTCATTCAATGAGATTAGATTGAGTCGCAATTGACTCAAAGGAATCAGATCTTCAGCGTCATATTCAGTGTCCAAGTTGGTGTTTGACACGCGGACCATAATTTTATGCCAGCACTTTTTCAAGACTTCGGGAGAAACTTTTTCCCAAGCATTGTATAGTAGGCAAACAGCGTCCTTTAAGTTGATGGTTTTCAGCAATTTAACAACGTTTTCTTTGTTACTAGATAATATATGGGCTAAAAGACTTTTCCGATAAAATAATTTTGTCAGTCTTATTGCATTTTGGTCCATAGGCTGCAAAAGTGCTGTACAATTCGATGGAAGAAATAGTGTCGTAAATTGTCCATCCTCACTAGTCAGCTCTTCTATAGACCCATGGCTAGAGGCGTTATCGACGATCAGCAGAGCACGTTCAGGCAAATTAAGGCTTCTTAGATGACTTCTGACTTGACGAATAAAGGAGAAATGAAACCAGTCTAAAAAAATTGCTGTAGTCATCCATGCATTGGCAGATGATTTATATTCTACAGGAAGATTTACGTTTTTAAAAGTCCTTGGATTTTTTGCCTTGCCCACCATTGATGGTTTTCAGCAATTTAACAACGTTTTCTTTGTTACTAGATAATATATGGGCTAAAAGACTTTTCCGATAAAATAATTTTGTCAGTCTTATTGCATTTTGGTCCATAGGCTGCAAAAGTGCTGTACAATTCGATGGAAGAAATAGTGTCGTAAATTGTCCATCCTCACTAGTCAGCTCTTCTATAGACCCATGGCTAGAGGCGTTATCGACGATCAGCAGAGCACGTTCAGGCAAATTAAGGCTTCTTAGATGACTTCTGACTTGACGAATAAAGGAGAAATGAAACCAGTCTAAAAAAATTGCTGTAGTCATCCATGCATTGGCAGATGATTTATATTCTACAGGAAGATTTACGTTTTTAAAAGCCCTTGGATTTTTTGCCTTGCCCACCACTAACAGCTTCAATTTTTGTGAACCATCAGCGTTACAACATACCAGAAAAGTAACACGCTTTCTTTGCTTATTTTTCGACCCGGTGCGGTTTTCTCCTGAGAACGAACCAGCGTTTTCTCAGGCAACATCTTCCAATACAGCGCAGATTCATCTGCGTTGTATATTTGAGTAGGTCCGAGGTTTAATTCTTTTATCTTCTCTGCGAATGCAGTAAGGAAAGGATCGACGGCACTTTGATCATTTGACAGTTTTTCGCCGCATACTTTTAAAGCACGCAGACCATGTCTTTTTCTGAAGTTAGATATCCAGCCTCTACTAGCTCTAAAATTGTCGTTCCCATAGGTTTCAGTGTAAAGCTGTCTTGCTTTGGCAGATAAAATTTCATAGGAAATTGGGATGCGTGCCTTGATCGTTGCGTACAAAACCAAGCATACAAACAAGTTTCCATTTCTGGATATTCGGCTTTTCGTAGGGTCTTTCTAGCGCCAGGACCAAAATCACATTTGGCGATAAATCTAGAAGTTAGTTACACAATACATGTCTCAAATGATTTATAAAATGAATCATACCTTTTAAATTTCTGTTTGTTTTTTTTTTATATCAGAAATTGTTGACGTCCCTACTCCATATTCATTTGCCAACACTTTTCCACTTTCACCACGAGCTAGTCTTTCTAATACATCGGACTTCTGTTTAATTGTTAGTGTAATATGCTTTCGTTTAGATGTCATTTTAATATGTTTGTAGCTGCGTAAAAAAGTGTTGATAACCTTATATACCAAACAACAAACAATTTATTGTAATTACTCTTCGGACGCGATGCATTGCAAGCAAATCAAGGACGCATACTATTTATGTGAAGCCTAGACGTTAAACCCGTCCGAATTTCGGCGAATCACCGATTTAGATTTGCATAATGTATAATATGTAATTTGAATGAAACAGTCGCCTAAAACGCAGGTCCGGATTACCGAGTGTCATAAAATCCGGATTATAAAGTACACAATGCAACTGAAATGCCTGTCCGGATTATTGAATAATCCGGTTTAATGATGATTCGGATTATCAAGGTGGCACTGTATATCTTTTCCCGTCGTCGCGTCGGCAGCAAAAAACACAAAGAAATAATAAGAAAGAAATAGAAATAATAAATACAACTATTCAAAAACACTTTAGTTTTTTTCAACAGATATATAATAATAGCGCCCGTATATAGCGTTTAACGCCTTGGGAGTAGCAAGGTACAGCTTGCTATACTAGAGCCGTTCAGTATACAAGGAATGTAATGTGGCTAGCACTACGCTTCAACCGCCTATTATTACCTCAGGATTGTGAATCCCAAGTACTCATTTAAGGCTAAGTCGACCTAGGTACCCAAACTATTTTTATTTTAATAAAAATAGTCGGCTGATGAAATGCCGGGTGTGGGAATCGAACCCACACCTTGAGATTGGTAGACGAGAGCCTGTACCTCTACGCCACCGGGCACCTTTTTTTCAACAGATACTTCTATAAAAACCGTTGACGGTCTGTTAAAATGACATTATAACAAGTTAAACATAATTAACAATTACTTAATGAGGTAAAACGAAAAAGCCTCAAACTTTCTCTATGGTTATTAGCCGACCATACCAATAGGTATGGTAGGCTATTAAGATCGGCAAAATTTTTTTATTTTAATTTCACTCAAAATGAGTTATTTGGGTCATAAATGACCTAAATACAAAATATTTTCATGGTGTCTGTCTGTCTGTCCGTCTGTAACACGATAACTCAAAAACCGCTAAACCGATTTTAACCAAATTTGGCACAAAAATACTGTGGCACCCGAGAATCTGGCCATTAGTTTTTGGTGAGGGTGGGAGGGTTGTTAAGGGGGTATGGGAGGGGGTTAAAAATTTTAAAAAAATCGTAACTCCAAAATTACAGTATCGCTAGATAACGCGGTTTTCAATTTAAGATTAGGAATAATATTTGCAACAAAATTTGTAATAACATCAAAATCAGTCAAAGTCGCAGTTTTTGAGATAAAAAAATGGAAAAATTCGTTTACTTTGAAACTAAAAAACTGTCCACCAACTTTTTATTAACATATTTTAGTATGGGCGGCTGTACGTGCCTCCCGGCGCCAATTTTTTTTTAATTTGTTTTTAATTTTTACTTATTTTATGTTTATTTATGTTATGTTCATTAAAATAAAAGAAACGATTGCCATAGATTGCCATACATTAATAACCTCTACAGATGCCTGAGCAATACATTTATTTTTATTAGACTGTATTAGAAAAGTCTCTTTTATTTTTCGTTTAGAGGCTATCGCTTCTTTCCTAAAAATATTTGCGTTGTTAAAATCTATCTGTGCCCTGTGCTCAATGAATGCGGACAAATCTTAGATTTGTGAAAATCGCCCTTTCGAAATAATTTATTGAAAGTCAAGTCAATCAAAAAAAAAAATGAAACAAATAAAAAAAAGATAAATTTGTCCAAGGTGAACGGCGAGTAGCGCAGCAAGCTGCATTATTCCACTATGTTTTTACGCCTTAGTACTTTTATTCAACGAATTTAGAGACCTCGTCCACTCACTACAATGTTCAGGAATAAGTATAATAAGACGTAAATGTCTTGTTTTCCAGATCAGTATTTGGCGGTACCGTGGGCCCCAACCCGATGAAACCGGCCAACCCGAGCGACCCCCAGTATTACGAGGGCATCAAGGTGCGCGCGCAACCGCTCAAACTGAACATTCCCCCTCCTCCCACGCCCCCCAAGCCCCTTCCCGTCGTCCAGCCCGCTGTCGTTCCGTCCAAGCCGGCGGCGCGTCGACGGCTGCGCGTGGCCTCCATCACCAAGGCGGCACCCGCGGCCGTTGTGCCGTTGGCCGTCGACGCCGACGCCGAGCTGGTCACGCACGTCATCACCTCGCCCGCCTCCCCCATCCTCAAGGCTCAGCTGAGCGCCCCCCCGAAGCAGCGGGAGGGGGGCGCGCCAGATAGCAAGAGTCAGGTAATTTGAGGCTTATTTGAGGTTACGTCGTACAGGCGTGGAATAAATGAATAAATATTATTGAGCTGAAGATGATTATGGGTATTTTGATTTCGACTTTGATCCTTTATTTAGGTTTATCATGGTGTCTCGTATGCAATAAGTGCGAAAAAGGCGGGTGATCGTTGCGGAGGGTGTAAAATCTTTCAATGTTAACGTTTCCTTACAAAGTTAATTACTTAAACACGGTGTCCCCCCAGGAGGAATTTAAATTGATAAAAAATATAAGGAAATATCTGCGAATTTTCTACATGACTGTTTTATTAATGGGAGCTGTAATTAAAATATTTTCAACATCTTAGTATTTTCTAGTTATAATTACTTTTTATTGCATTTTTGTTTTATACAGTAAATTCTAAACACATTCTGTGAATAATATTCTATACTTATAAAATAGTTAAATCTTGAGATATTTCAAATAATGTGTTCATACCCTTGTGGCGGATTCGTTTCTTGAAAAATTACAAAATTTCTACAAAACAAAAAAGTTTTTTGTAAATACTACTACCGTTGATTGATAAAATTGGGAAGATAAGCAACCTAATGGGCAAATTGATGACAAGGTTGATTTGATTTCACCTTACGTCTCAAGTGCTGTACGGTGGCGCCTCTACTCGTTCTGCGGCCAACGCATAAAACATTCATTTTCTCTAATTCGGCTTGCGAGGGCACATCGAAAACGGTATGAAACTGAAAGCGACAGTGTTGCCATATTAAAATGTGTAATATCTGTAATATGTTTGACGAAAATATCTTTGGATGAAAAATCCGCGTTTATGTATTGAAAATTGATTCCTGTTAAACATAGAATAAACGAGAAATAAATAAAAATTCTGTTATAGGTCCTGAATATTTCGTATAGTCAAAAAAAAGTCGGTTAGTTGGCCTGGAACTGACGAAATTTACATTTACCAAAATATTTTACATATGAAATAACAGCGATCTTTATTTCCAAGCCAACTCTGACACCGGTCTTTGTTTAATCATATAATATTATATTAAATTGTTTAATGATAGAAAATTCGTATTATTAACGTACTGTACTCAAAATCCGTAAATATCCGGATTAATCAGTAGTTCTGGCAACACTGTCTCTTGCAACCCACCCATTCTGTCGACTGAAAACAACTACGGTACAGTATTCTTTATCCGCTGCGCTGTAAACGACTATCAGCGCGCAGCGGCGCAAAGCTGAACTAAATCTCGGATATATAACGATAATGTTAGCTACATCTCGGACATATTTTGTGACACGAAATCACCCATAAGATTGCGCATCTTCTTATTTCTTCAGTCAACGATTTTAGTATATTTTTTGTTCTCTAAGTAAATGTATATCAATTTTTTTAGTGAATTAACCCAATTTATGAAGTTTTCGTTTACATATTTTTTTTATATATGTTGATAAGAAGTCAATACAATTTTATACTAGTAACCTTAATATAATTAGTAATCTCTTAGAAGAAACTATATTAAATTTAAATTTTTAATTTTATTTACAAAATATGACGAAACAATTTACTGTCAAAGAGCAAACATTTCGAAATATGTATTCAAAAAAAAGCAGGTCAAAATCCAAATCAAATTGTCCTGTCATCGTCCACTTAATTATATTTATGTTTTACCATGTCGTACGTCTTGTCTTCTTTGTCGATCATCTTCGTTCTTTATTTTTTGTTTTTTTTTTTCTTTGTCCAGTGATGCCAACTCGTGCGATATTTCAGAAAAAAAAATTTTCGGTAAAAACTACTATAATTTGGTAAAAGTTGGCATTACTACATTGTAGTACACGATCTAGTATGGTGGAGGTGTCAGTATCGTTCCTATACAGGGTGTTTCATAATTTGATAAAACCAATAATAATACTTCAAGTTAATGAATTATACATAAATATAAAAATTGTAATTACATTTTAATTATTTATATTAAAGCCATATAAAACTCTAATATAACAATAATTATAATTTTATAATACAGCATTTATTTATGACACACCCTATATATTTTTCTATTTTTTAATGGAATCTGTAGGGTGTTTTAATTTTTATGTCTATATTATTTGGTAAAATATTTTTACTGTTATCATGGAAAAGTATTTTATATATGTAGAAACACCTTCTGATTAAAACACCCTATATTTTGTATAATTTCATCAAATTAGATAAAATATTCATTCTTGTTAATTCATTTTTGCTTTTCTCAGCAACAGCCATAATAAAAAACGTATTATTTTTACTTAACATATTCATGCTTTTTGTTAATATTTTATACAAACAATCATACCGTCTATTCAGAAACATCAATTTTATTTATACTTAAAATCTTTTTTTTTTGAAGACAAAAATGTCAGTGGAGCCTTTTTCTTATCCCAAAACCTGTTCAATTCCCTGATTTAGAAATTTACAGTGTGTTTATTACTATTTTTACGTAGGTTGTAGTAGGTAGGCCTGTGATTTTGTAAATTGATCTTACAAATAGTATTGTTTGATTTTTTTATTTGCATTGAATGATCACACATGTATGTCATCGATTGGACTGACATTTGGCACCATTCAGAATTTTTGAAAATAAAAACGTTTTCTTGCAATAAAAAAAATCCAAACATGTTTTTAATTGATTTTTTTTGGATTGTCTTTTTTGTGGTTTTGCAGTTTTCATTTAACACTGTTTTTGTTTGGAAATGTTAACAAAAAATATTTAGGTGTCTTACATAAAAGATATGAAGTTAATTCAATAGCTGGATATCCGTAATATTTATTTTCTATACATATTTTGTTTTTATATCAGACTACATATAAACTTGGACTACATATGAACAATTTCGCATAGAGCTCTCAATTTTATGTCAGTGACATTTACAGAATAATTGAACATTTTTCTTCGCCGAAGCATTTATTTACAATTATATATTTTGTTTTTTTAGAACATTTTCTTACTAAAATTTGTTTAATAACACGGTGTTCGTAAATATCAGTAATTAGTAGACCCTGCGTAGATGAAGAAATAGCTATCATAATTATAAATGTTTGTGGAATAAAAAGACTTGGGAAGGATTCAATACTTTTTTATATTTATGCATTAAAGTATATTATTTGTCCGTTTTTTACTTTCTTAACAAATTTGAATTCTTGTGTTTTTCTGCATTTATTTTGTATTATTTCATGTTTGTGTTTCATGCAAAGTAAACAAATCTGGAAAGACATTATGTCAGAACTTAAATACAGTGAGGTTATTATGAATTTTGGAGAGATGCTTCAAAATAGTTACTTGTTTCATGCGATCGCCCCCAACCTAAAACTAAGAAATAAAGGAACTATTTTACGCTGGTTAAGAGCGGCCGCACACGGGTCGTCTGGCTTTCGAAGTTGAAGCGTCTCAAATTCCAAGCAAATCTTCCTCCACTCTACCTTCGCATGTAAATAATAGTAACAATCACATCGACCCCGCGTCGTCCGCCAAACGACCCGTTCGTAGACCTACTATTATTATGTAGGAAGTAAAGTTGGAGATGCTTCCGTTTCGAATTTGAGACGAACCGTGTGTACAGGGTGGGTCAAATTCGACGCTTTTAAATGGAAACACCCTTTTCTATAGGAGATAGACAAAAACTAATATCGGTGTCTGGAGCTCAATTTTTGTCAAAAACATGATAGTGAAAACCGCATATCGATATCTATTACCGTTCGGTGTTCGACATATCAACCGTCTTCTGTTATGGACAGACGGGGCACTTTTTGAACATTTCTCGCGGAATTGATTAACTCAATGGGGGAGAAATATACCCTCTCATAACTGCTAAGTATTTCTAATTCTTGTCTATATTATAAATAAGGAACCTTTATTCTTCCGCAAATATATCCATAGGATTAGATCCATGGGCACTAAGTCAGGCGGCCTCGACGGCCAACGGCTGGGATCTTGGTTAGCTATTCAATTATTCTTGAAATTGGCTGCAAAAATTTGCTGATAACTTCAGCGTTCAGAGGCGGTGCGTCGTCTTGCTGGAAAAATATGTTTTCGAGTTCCATTACGGGCATATCATCAATAAGGGGTCCAAAGCCTACTAGTTAAAAGTAGCGAATTAAAATTCGTAGCGTTTTAAAAATTCTGTATTTCGAAGAGGATTATAATAAAATATCAAGTGTGCTATATTTTTGGATAGGTAATTTTAAATTCTTTTCAGTTAATTAAAAATATAGGGGGTGTCCCAAATAAAAAATCAATTTTTCTGTTGATAACTCTTAAATTATTAATTTTAAAGAAATTATACTTAAACCATTAAATTCTACGTAAAAAGGTGCTTTGGAAATGTTTTCATAGAGATACAAAATTTTCCATAGCAAAAAAGTTACAGCGATTTGTTAAAAATGCACATTTTTGAAAAACACCCCGTAACTCCGAAACGGTAACAGATATTGATGTGCGGTTTTCACCATCATGTTTTTGATGAAAATTGAGCTCCAGACACCGATATTAGTTTTCGTCTATCTTCTATAGAAAAGGGTGTTTCCATTTAAAAGCGTCGAATTTGACCCACCCTGTACACGGTTTTACTAATTTATGTTATGAATAGTAAAGGAATTAATAAAAAATGTTTAGAGTTGACTAATTATCTTTTTATCGTCGCATTTATTACTACTTAAGCTTGATTTTCATGCATGCGTTGTCCGACGATACGATGACACGATATTAATTTTATTGGTTGAATTTAAAGATTTTGATTGGTTAGAAACGGTTAACAAATCGAAGCCTTTAAATTCAACCAATAAAATTAATGTCGTATCATCGTGTCGTCGGACAACGGATGCATGAAAATCAAGCTTTATCAAGAATAGTTGCCAATGCCAATTAATATGCCAATATGCCGGGTGGCCAACTAAGAATGGACGTCGGCTATATCTCAGAAACTACATATCGTATAACTTTGGGAAAAAAATTCTAATTAGTAAATCGACCAAGAGAAATCGCTGGAAATTGTTTTCAAGTTCGAAAAATGTCCGCTAGGGGGCGTTTCTCTGATAGTCAATCAGAAAACAGAGTTTTTCTCAAAAATATGCATGTGAACAGGTGTTTTAAATATTACTATTGTAATCATCAAGAAATTTATAATTTTTTTTGATATAGAGTATTTTGCTCTATCTCATAAAATAAAGTGGTGGGGGAAGGTTAAATTTGCTTTTATTAAAAAAAAGATAACTCTGATTTAGGTTATCCGATTTAAACAAACTAGGGCTCGTTTAAAAGAGCTTTTCTTACTTAATGATCTCCAGTATAAATTTTGTTTCCATATTTTTTTTTTCGTGGTAGCTAGAGGGCGCTGTTTGGCATCATAACAGATATTGCAGTTTTGCATAAAAAATTTAAATAGGAGGCTATATTTCTCTTTGCACAGTTAAATAGAGCACAACATTTCCAAAATATCAGTGCAAGAACAAATCACGGAGTGCCGCTTAGGTTTTATGGTCTGTAGTAGGCTAGGAAACAAAAAGAGGTAAATTGATAACGTCAAAATATGAAAACGTTTAAGTTCAGTTTTCATGCATCCGAATTTCGAGCGTTTACTTAAAAAAATTACGTCATAAATATTTAGACGTGTTTATGTAACATTATCATCCATCCATATAATTTTTACAAATTTCTTGGTTAATTATACGTAGGTAGTTCTCAGATTAAAATATCCGAAAGTCGGACAATTAATAATTTTATTAAAATTTCTAGGAATGTTGTGCCGCCATATTACTTTTAACAGAAAACGGCCGAATTTCGTATAGCCGAAAACTAGGGGTTTATTTCATGTAACTTCATTTATTTAACTTCATTTATTTATTAATCGAAGTTCGTCCTTGATTTCACTTGTTTTTGTGTTTTACCTGTTGTTTTTGTTATTTATTATTATATTAGAAAGTTTATGTCGCTTGGGTCACTTCATATAGCACCGAAGGTGCGAATCTTAACAATATGCACCACTGGTCCAAGTCTACCCTTGATGCAAATAGTTCAGCACCAAGACCGTAGGTCGGTAAATGTTTAGGCAGGAATTTTAGCAAGGCAAATGATTGGACTTTTTTAATTATCTGAATGAAATGAACTATCCATAATTTCTAAGAAATGAAATTTTGTTAGGGGAGGGATACATCATGATGAAATTGCATTTGTTGCAATTTCATCAGCATGGATGCATTTAGTGTAGTTGATGCAGTTGCGCCGTTTATTTTGCTATGAATGTGTGGTGTTCTTGGATACCACTTACTTTAGTAGATACACACGCTGGAGCGGCACATTTCCATGGCCAGCTAGGTCATCGTATTCAATATGCCTGGGTTTTAATTTATGGGGTGGATTCAAGAACGAACATGGATAAATAACAATTAAATAGTATTAAAATAAAATTAAAATATATATTTTGATATTTTGACGTAACCAATTTACATTTTTCTGTTTCCTAGCCTACTATAGTAAACGCCACGAATGTTTGGGAGTGATTCATCGGTCGCTACCATGTGAACTAATCTGTTAAGGTCACATAAAACTTGATTCCAGTGCCGTGGTGTTTCAAGTCATATAATAATCAATATATAATCTGTTGTAATTTGTTGTTTTAACTGTCAAAGTCTTATCAAAACATTTATTTGGTTATAAATATAAAATGGAATGCCCCATTGGTCGCAATGCAAGCACACCAATGGACTGACGCACAAAAACGAATCAATCATTGAAACGCGAATAGTATGGTCTTTGTCAATCACGCTAACATTTTAGAATAAGTAGGAGGAGCGCAGGCAGATATTAGACCGGGCTTTAAAAACCTACGTCTGCGGTAAAAATTTACGTTTTTAATGTAAAAATGATAACGCGCGTGTCGATTCTAACTTCATCAAGCGATGAATCACTCCCAAACATTCGTGGCGTTTACTCTAATTATAATTTTTAGACCATATAATCCTAAGCGGCAGCCTAACATGATTTGTTCTTTTAATATCTCCGGTTAGAGAGAAAATAGAAAGTTGCGGTTTGCGCTGATATTTAGGAAATTTTGTGCTCTATTTAACTGTGCAAAGAGAAATATAACCTATTTACTTTTTTATGCAAAACCGCAATATCTGTTATGATAGCAAACAGCACCCTCTAGCTACCACGAAAAAAATTATGGAAACAAAATTTATACTGGAGATCATTAAGGACCTGGATATGCAGGTGAACAGGCATTAAATACCCGTTCACCTGCATATTTTTGAGAAAAAAACCTGTTTTCTGATTGGCTATCAGAGAAACGCCCCCCAGCGGACATATTTCGAACTTGAAAATAATTTCCAGCGATTTCTCTTGGTCGATTTACTCATTAGAATTTTTTTCTCAAAGTTATACGATAAGTAGTTTCTGACATACAGCCGGCGTCCATTCTTAGTTGGCCACCCGGTATATTTTATTACGTTACTTTACTTATTTCTGCATATTTGAAAATTGTTTTTTTAGCCAATTTTAATTATAACATTGCTCTTATAATTTTTTATGTTAAAAAAAACGAATGACTGACCCATCAGAATGCAAGTCAGCCATATTGATAACCCATAAGAATCGTATCACGTTTTATAATACAGGGTGGTCCGAACTGTATTCCGGAAATTTCTGCAGATAAAAATAAGTATAAAAGTTCATATAAATGTATGCCCTAAAATGCTTAGTTTCGGAGATACAGGGTGTACAAGTTTCATTTTTATTTCGATTTTTTCCAAATAATTTCTGAAGTAACGTCAATATTTAGATGAAAATTGGTGTCTGGGAGTTTTTTGACATGAGAAATTTGATATTGATGTCAATATGACTCCTACTAGTAGAGGGCGCCACCTACATTTGTTTTAACTAGTTTGAAGAGTAAAAACTTTTCGTCCGTACCTGTATAAAACTACTGAGTAAAAAAATATACATTTACGACACTTTTTACGTGAAAAAGTCTCTTGATAAAAATCGCTACGAGTAATGGTTTTCGAGATATTTGAAATCGAAATTATCAATACCTGTCATCATTGACATAAATTCAACATGTTGACTAAATAGTTATTAGACTGAAATCATAAATTTGAAGTGTTTTTGTGACAAAAGTTCGACAGAAACTGTTTTATCATCATTTTTTGCAGAAACAATTTATGATTAATTTAAAAAAAATTAAAATTTCCTGAATTTATTATTTCAGTGAAATAACTATCTACTCAACGTGTTTATTTTTCGTCAATAATGACATATATTGTCTATTTCCATTCTAAATATCTTAAGAACGGTTGCTCGTAGCGATTTTTACAAAGAGATATTTTTTACGTAAAAAGTCACAGAGATGTATATTTTTATGCTCGGTGGTTTTATACAGGTACGGACAAAAAGTTGTTACGCTTCAAAACAGTTAAAACACATGTAGAGTCTTTTTGACACCAAAATCAAATTTCTCATGTCAAAAAACTCCCAGACACCAATTTTCATCTAAATATTGACGTTACTTCAGAAATTATTTGGAAAAAATTGAAATAAAAATGAAACTTCTACACCCTGTATCTCTGAAACTAAGCATTTTAGGACATATTTTTATACGAACTTTTTAACTTATTTTTATCTGCAGAATATGTTGTCGAAGTTTCCGGAATACAATTCGGACCACCCTGTATATTCTTTGTCTTTAGTCTTTTTATTCAACGATAGATCTTGATTAATAAGATGCATTTTTCGTTGTTTGCACTACACACATACTAATCGACTTTCTTATATATGCATGCCTCATCTTGAAACCATATCTACGTACGATTAGGAAATATTTCCTTTGGCTTTAATTAAAACTTTTATCTCCTTTTCCTCTAAAAAGGCCGTCACACACCCCCACCTCAGCCAGGCGCTTTTGGGTAGTACCACCACCACAGCAATGACCACTTCTGTGGCGATAACAGGAGGGACGTCATCTACCCCAGCTGTCAAACAGGAGATTTCTGGTCAGCAAACGGTGGTTTCTGGTCAGCAACAGCAACAGCTGCACGGAGCGCAGAGTAACAGTAGTTCGTTGATAAAAAGCCTGCTGGCCACAAAGGTAAACGATAGTTGCATGCCGGCGGTGAGCATGAAGAGTGCGACGACAGACTGCCAAAACGTAGCCCAGGTAACACACTAACTGCAGCCCCAGACTTGAAAAGACAGAGCACACTTGATTACTTACTTCAGTTTACTGCGCCTATGCCAGTTCAGACAACGAAGTGTCAATAACTCATGTTGATCAATCAGCATTTTAATAAAAAATCGCTATAAATACACAGAGCGATATTGTTGCGATGAATATGTTGATCAATATTGTTGCGATGAATATAAGCAGAAAGCAGATTAAATAATTTAAGAAACCAGAGTCGGACTTGAAATTATCTTAAATAATAATTAAATAGTTTTGTTGTTGTTAAGGTACCCAAAACAAAAAAAAGTATAAGTGTGGCATATCATTGTACTCAGGAGACCGAGTTCTTTCAAAACTAGATATAAAAAATGCAGTCCGTATTTAAAAAATATAAGTTGGCCTCTGTATCTCACAAATTATCAGCTAATTTGAAAATCTAAAAATACTATCAGATAGCCCTAATAAAGTGTCTATGAAAATGTGGAATTAGTTTTTTGATTTTCTAAAAACTAACGACAGGAAAAAATAAAATTGTTTTTCAAAAAAATCCGTTTTTTCGAAAAAACTCAGAAATCCTTGAAATTTTTAAAACTTTTTTGATGGCACCTTGGTGAACATCTCAAGGCGCAACTTTGCCCCAATTTAACCATCTTCGTATCTGTTACAGTTTCCGAGATACCAATGCTCGTACCTCAAATTTGTAGCACCCTGTATAATTATATCAACATTAATTTGTAAACTCAATTTTTTATAAACTTTAGTATTTGGCATATTATACAGGGTTAATCGAGGAGTTGTTTTTTAACTTTAAAACACCCTGTGCAATAATTTCGTGTGTAAATTTTCTTAAAATATAATTTTACGGTCACAACCATGTCTCCTGAGCATTTTGTTTTTTGGATTATGTCAATATACATATGCCTTTTCAATTTATAATTTGACCAAAAATTTCTCCATTGCGGTTTTTTTGCATCTGAGTGTAGTTTCCGTCCAAAAGGAGCTATTCGAATGAAATTTTGAGGGTAAAAGTTGATACGTATTTTAATGCTAAAATTTTCGTCAGATTCACCAGAGACGTGCATTTAAGTTATCAGTGGAATATTTTTCTAAAAAAAACTACGTCGCTGTCTTTTTCTTGTACAGGATGGACCATTTTGGTTGTTTCTATAGGGTATGTAGGAAACCGTGAGAAATATTCAAATTTTGATACTGCAGTCTCGGGTTCTTTTTTTGAAAAAATCCCAATGACGCAAACGGGTCGTGGCTATCTTGATCGGTTTCGAAGCTACAGGGGGATCCTCAAATTTAGTACTTTTTGAAGATGTTCGATAGTTTGTTTATTTCAACAACTACGCAAAAATGAATTAAACATTCTAAAGGCAATTTGCTGTGTAGAATGCAGTGGCGTAGTCAGACTTTTTTCGAAAGAAATATTTTTTTAGTTATTAACTATACTTATGTTTTTTTAAATACAACCTGTATATTTTTAAATTTCCTGATTCCGTTTGGCATGGGCTTCTCAAAAATATATAACACTATATATTTATTTTCACTATTAACTTTAAAATTCCAATTTATTTAAAGATATCGACTTTTGGTAGGTCATACCGAGTATTAAATGAAACAAGCGAATATCTACTTTCAAATTAATCCATGTATTAACAATTAAATACATTCGAACAATACGAAGCAAATAAAAAATAAGTGTGACAGAAACAAAAGAACATATTTTAATGGTACGGAGTTGGCACCGTCTCTGCACGCCGCCGCTAACAGCATTTCAAATGTGTATGTTGGTTACACTTTGCAAAGCCACAACAAAACCATCTTGTAACTCTTCTAATGTTCTATTTGCATTTCGATAAATTTCGTTTTTCAGAAAGCCCCAGAGAAAGAAGTCCAAGGGAGTGATATCAAGTGGCCTAGGTGGCTAGGATTAAACTATTTTCTGACCTTTTAAAAATGGCTGGGTTTGGTTGCTCGCGCTCAAAATACCGCTCAAAATATTAATCAGCTGCCATTTGTTTATGTTTGTTAGACTCAATATAACATTCTAACTTCTAACGTATTATATTTCTCACAATTTTCAAATTTACTCACTTTTTTATTATTTAAAATACACACATTTCAATCTGTTGAAATGAAATGTCACGCATCCATCAAAGGTATGTCCCGATCACCATGACAACCGTTTACTTTGTTACTCGGCGCGGCCTACTACTAACTGGATATTATAAGAAAAATTTGAAATGTTGAGGTTAATAGTTAAAATAAATATAGAGTGTTATATATTTTCGAGAAGTCCATGCCAAGCTGAATCAGGAAATTTAAAAATATACAGGGGGTTGGTTCTATTTAAAAAAAAAATTATAGTTAATATCTAAAAAAATATTTTTCCAAAAAAGTCTGACTACGCCACTGCATTCTACACAGAAAACTGCCTTTAGAATGTATAATTCATTTTTGCCTAGTTACTGAAATAAACAAACTATCGAACATCTTTAAAAAGTACAGAATTTGAGAATCCCCCTGTAGCTTCGAAACCGATCAAGATAGCCACGATCCGTTTGCGCCATTGTGATTTTTTTAAAAAAAGAACCCCAGACTGCTGTATCAAAATTTGAATATTTCTCACGGTTTCCTAGATACCCTATAGAAACAACCAAAATGGTCCACCCTGTACATATTAGCACATTTGTGTAGGCCGTTTAATGCCGCTTAAAAGTTCTCTTCATATTTTGTCGATCGCCTTGACGAAATAAAAGCACAGTTTTATTAATCTGTTTTATTAATTTAAGTCTAATAGCAACCCTTTTTTATAAAAATAATTCAATATACACAATACTGATTTTAATAACATTTTTATATTTATGATGTCTGCTCTGTCTTTGGTCTACAATTAGCCTTTTTGTTATTTTGCCAAGCAGTATGTAAATGTAAGGTTTGTGTGTCAATGGTGGTATCTGAACTAATTATACAGGTAAACTTAAACGTTTTAAATAAGTCAATTTTTTTATAAATTTTTATCACTATCAATTTATCCGTTTTACCTTACTTGGAAAGGAACTACTCTGTATAATTTCTGTAATAGTATTTTCGTTAAATTAAACTTACGATATCGAGGACACTGATTCTCCATACACATACATACCTGCTTTATAATCACCTATTTAATTAAAAGAACCATTAAAACTTTGATTAATATGTTTAGAAATATGAATTTTAGACTGGTATCTTATTAAAATTAATGGAGGTTAATCAAGGTTTTATTGCTATTAGTTGTAACAGTATCGACTTAAATTTTATTTAGAAAGTTACTGAAGTTGTAGGTAGCTTAACATTAGATATACTTTAATATTTCTGGTTATTCCCCTTTGTCAGTATATTAAAATCATACACATTTTTCAATATTAGTTCATTACATTAATTTTTCTTATTTTTTTTTAAATATATTTATCGTTATTACCTTAATAGTTTATATTTTTAATGTTATTTTTAGTTTTTTACTGTTATTTTCTTTTTTTTTCCTCGTTTGTATGCGAGATTAAAAAATACTGCTCTCAAAACTTCAGAGCTCTCTGGTTTTCTTTTTTAATAAATAGTGACATAATTTGATTTTTAAACCTTTTTGATAACAAAATACTCAGAAGGTACAACTGAAATGAACCACTTATTATTTTAATTATACAAACTATAAAACTTATTATTTACGGCAATAGACAAGAGTCGTATTGTGTAGCTTTGCTTAATTAACAACAATAAAGTTTGTTTTGTTTTATACACGTATCTATAACAAAAATATTTGTGTGTAACTTGCATGAATTTATTTTTATAACAACATACTAATTTGATATTTTATTCCAAACGGTTTTTTTTTTTCGCGGAAAAAGGGTCCACTGATATGATTTTTTTTTCAATGCCTATTAACGAAGTACGATTATTATGAATATTAAAATTAAGTGGCGAAACCTTCAATTTTCTGTTTTTTGAAAAAATTCTAAGATAGGTGTAAGTATCAAAATAAGTCTAAAATGAAATTTTCGGTTCTGAGATTCTAAATTTTTCTAAATGAAAGTTTGATATTTTTTTAGGGCTAATTGTCCTTTGTTTCCTATACAAAACGGCAAGGTTTATTTTTTAATCCATTCCGCAAGTATGAACCTAGATTTTTCTAGCACAAACTTTTCCTGCAGCAATATAGAGATATACAACATAATAATATACAGATGTAGATCTTATCTTTCTTTTATAAGTATATTTTGTTTTATTTGAAATATTTTATGAAACAAAAATAAATTAATAATTATAAATATATAAACAGTTATTATTTACATCAACAAAACTCACCTCTTTAACAGCACTTAAGGGACATAAAGGGTCATTAATACTGCTTTCCCGTTCTAAATAATCCAATAAGGTTGCGATGAGTTTTTTGCACCAGCTATTAAGCTATTTCGTACCCAATTCGCATTAAAAGAGGTTCTAAAAAGAACAATGTTCGACTGCAAGGTCTGCTAGTAAGAACTTTTAAGCTTAAAGTTTCACAACACAATTTATTTAAACCTTTTAAACAAAGAACGAATGACAATGTCAGGAAATAAATAAATGTGGCAAGTTGACATTATTTAGAGGAGGTTTAACACCTGAATTCCCAGTGGGAAATTTAAATTCCAATTAGTCGCCGAATATGTCATGGTTGGCAACGATGAATTTAAAAATTGCGCCCCCGATTACGTAACTAAAAGTTTAATTGGTATCGCTTGTAGATATCAACATTTGAATGTAAAAATGTTTAACTTTCCTTCGTCACTTTATTTTTGCTGACTTTGACAAAAATGGTCTGAAGCAAATAAGTGTAAGCATAATTGGTTTAAGAATATGGTATTTTGCGTAACTTTAGAACTCTAATGATCAAACTAAAGGTTATAGACAGATTTGAAAAAAAAATACAAATAGAATATAAACTATCCACACAAATTAGAAAATCTAAATAAAACCGCTTAAACAAGTAAATGGTTGCCCAACAATCGTAGGTCGGTTAAAAGTATTGCGCGGATCAGTGTCTGATCCACGGATCATAGGTTCGCCGTCACTATTATACAGGGTGTCCCAGAAATAAGTGCAAGTATTTTAAGGGGTGATAGATCTCGATAAAAGAAACATGTTTTCTCTTTATGGTTTTTCAAATCCAAAAAAAGTCCAAAATAACTGAGTTACTTTGAAAATTTCCAAAAAAAAAGATTTTTTTCTAAAATTTTGAGAACCACTGGATCTTTTCTTGATTTTCTTTCTTGTAAATTTAATCTGCTACCTATGTTGCCACATTATCATGAAATTATTTTTTTTAAATAAAAACTAAAAAAAATTTCAAAAAATTCCGAATTTTCAAAAAAAAAAATTGCGAAAAAAAACCTCATAGGCGTGTTTCTGGGGTTGAACTATACTACCAGTTAAAATATTTGCACTTATTTCTGGGACACTGGTGTATACTGTTTAATTTCGGTATATCATATATCAATACACAAAATTATAATTATGCTAAGTACGAATAACATTCTTTATTTAAACACTAGGTGGCAGCTCGACAACAACGCCTCCTAGCCCAGCAAGGCCCCAGCTCCTCCGACACCAGCAACCCGCCGAAGAACCAAAGCCGCCTCGAGGCCCTGAAGATGCACCGCATCAACGGCGTGCGCCAGCTCTTCACCGATAACGAGATCGGCGATCCCTCCGTCTCGTCCACCACGCAGTTCGTCAGCACGATCAAGGGCAAAAAGGAACCGCCCCAGCCGCCGCCCCCGCCTTTAGCGCCGCTAAGTAACGCGAAAGGGACGGTAGCGAGGGCGACGCCTCCCGTGGCGAACGAGGACAGCGATTCGTTGGGAAACCATTCGCTGTCGTCGACGTCGGGACTGGGGGCGGTAGCGGTGGTGTCGTCGACGGAGGATAACGACAATTCGCTTACCAGCTTCGAAGGTACAATATCTTTCATAGTTTGGTTTGGTTGGTTTGGTTTGGTTGAAGTTTTTTTTTGTGAAAATCGTTTTATTTTTCATTTTAATCTAAAGCCTGTCTACCTTAAGAACACGTATGTGTTTCGAGAGTTATGGCGACGACACATATTAACTTACAGATGTGGCACTTATTTCATCTTGTTGATAAACGCCGCACAGTCGGCCGGAATAGGTTTTTTTCGCGACATTGTGATTTTATGACCCATTTTTATAGGAAATTTTGCGCTGATTCCAAATATATCCCATGTTCCTATACCTAAAATAGCTTCTTGACTTGTTTTCCTTTAACACACGAATTTTTTATTGTTTTTTGACAGATTTTTTCCATGTATTCCTTACCATTACTGTTCAAAGTTACTTTGTTTCCACAGAAAAGTTATATAAAATTAAACTCTGCATCGATTTGTTACCAGCAACTGCCGAATTGATCAATAAGTAAGGTCATAATTTCTTTATTTTAAGGTCTGCTCAACGGCATGCCCATCGTCGAGGAGACCCTGAACGAGAGCAGCAGCAATTCCAAAGATTCTGTAAAAAATTCCGCTAGTGAGATAAGCATAGACAAACCGTTACGGTTGGCCGACTTGCTGGAAAAGAAGTTCAACAAGACACCAACGACGCTAATGAACGGCACGCTCGGTAAAGATCTGAAACTGAAGACGGACAGGCAAGACTTGATAGAAAACCACATCGAGAAAGTGCTGAAGTGTGAACCTGCGGAGGTTAAGATCGAAATAGAAACGATTGAGATCAAAGATGAAGTGGTGGAGATTATGGATACTAGAGGTATGTCATTATGGGGATATTATGTCATAATTTTAAATTATTTATTCGAAAATTTGCAATTTTAAATTCTAGAGATATTTGTGTTTTAAATACATGTTGGGACAATCTCACTTGAATGGAGAATTTTATTTGTGTCTCCAGTTGTGTCATCATATACATAGGTTTGTTTTTATATATTTTTGTGTAATGGATGAAGCTACTTCTTTTTGGCGTAGAAGACGATCTATTGCTACATATTTATTAATGAAAAACAAAAATAAAATTCATAGAACAATTGGAACATGTCAAATATTTAGAAAGTGAAAGCTGCCAAGAGCATATCACAATTAAGTGCAACAAATGAGAATTAACGATAAAAAAAAATTTGGAAACTACCGTAGAATGTCTATAAAGGATTTCGGTTGGTTCTCAGTGGTTTTGAAAAGTTTCCAATGATATGACCAATTTGCGGTTAACATTGAAGTTTCTACTACAAATTAAAAAAAAAATTAAACTAATAATGATTATGTACATTTTTTTCATACTACATATAATTTATATTATTATATCCATAATAAGAAATAAATGACACGAGATGACATATAACCTAAAAACTCATCTACGCATGCGTTCAACAAAATTCGCAGCGAATATTCGCAAAAATTAAGTCACTTTCAATATTTCTATCTCTCTTTCTGTCAATTTTGTGGCCTCTGTATTTTTTTGAATTTGACCAGTAATAACAATATTCGCCAGTCGCGTGTATACTAAGGGCTGGCAAAGATTAGTCTTGGGTTGAGATTTCGGTATGTAATAAAAGTACAACGCATTTATAATGTATTGAAAAAAGAGAGAATAGTAAAAACGTTGCCAAACGTATGAAATACACCGAGAAACTGTGCATATTTCTAAGAGACGTGGAATATATATAGCCCCATAGCAGATTCGTCGCGGTCGACCCAATCAGTACCATATCAGTACTTAAAATTCTAGGGAAGAGTGTACATCATGCGTTCAGCATCACGATTTAATTATGTTTCGTGATACTTTATTAACGAGTCGTTGTAATTTTCCCTATAGCCTGTAAATTTTTAAGTGGAAGTTAGAAACACTTGCACTTTTGATAAAAATAAGTGGAATTGAGTTGGTGTTCGACAGTGGTCGCGCTATTAGAACTCTGAATTCAAAAATTGATATCTCGAAATCCATTAGAAATAATTGATACATAGTTTTTTTTCAAAAACTTTCTTAATATTTCTGCTTTTTTTTCGCAGAGGTATGTGAAGATCTTTATAAATAAAAACTTACGATTGCTGAAAATTGCAATGCACTAAAAGTAAGTGGATGTTTTTTTTTTAAATTTGAATGGAAAAAAACAAGCCTATAGAATTTTTCTTATTTAAACATCTTGAAAAGATCCGAACTTCAAAATAAAACAAAAGTTTCAATATCTAAAGTAGTTCTTGAGACGCGCGATACTGTTATGTGTTAAAAAGTTGAGTTTTTAAATTATCGCGATTACTGACGTTTTCTCGTTATAAAAAAATGGACACCCTAACGATATCCTTTTAATTCCATTTCAGATGCTCAGAAACATATCTAATGATTTTATCTGGATATCTTTTCGAAAATAAAAATCTTTTAAAAATAAGCGGTTTGCGATGGTGATTTTACTTTACTTGATAGGAAAAGGCCTACCCGAGAAATGTGGCAACACCGCGACAGCACACCGTCGCGTTTCTCTCACTCCGACTTAATAGGATACCTATACGATTTATTTCCACACGTGTAAATACCGATCCAAAAGTAGAGTTGCCAGCACTGTATGAAATTTTAGTATATTTGAAACCACTAATTTCGAAGTTCTGAATGAAGCTTAATATCCATAAATTTACAGTTGACACGAAGCAAGGTATCAAGCGCCACGCGACCGACCCGATCGTCGACTCCGACGCCAAAAAACCGCATTTGAGCAGTGCCACCAACGTCAACGGGTCGAACAGTGCCGCCGACTCGCCGGCCCCCGACTCCTCGAGCTCGAACGGCGAAGAGGGCCCCACCACCGTGTCCACGGCCGCGGCCAAGCTGTTCGCTGACATCGCCGCTGATATTCTCGAGGACGAGGACGAAGAACAGCTGATGCAGGAGGCGCAGGCGCCGACGAGGGTGGTGGACCAGAGTATGGTGCAGCAGCAGATCGTCGTCGAGAACAGTCAGCAGATGGTGTTGGCGTCGCAGCCTCGGCAGATCATTGTATCGCAGTCGCCGATGGGTAGCGCCGCGCAGTCGGTGGTTATCTCGTCAGGTAAGATATCGCGCTATATCAGCCCGTGGTTACATTGGATGCGTATCCGTGCGTTTTTTTGATCGTACGTGCGCGGACGTGCACGCAGCAAAAAACAAACAAATGGTATCTACGCAGGGGGTTACATTGCATCGGAGTTTGCGCGTCCGTGCACGTACGTCAATTTCCGTTGGTCGGATGAAAACAAACTGGTTTGTTTTTTTAATACGTGCACGTCCGAGCGTTCGAATTTTTATATCTCTGGGCCCAATACATTTCCGAAAAATTTGAATATTTTTGAATACCAGGCTAATTTTTATTTAGAATATATTAATGTTGCTGGAAACATTCTAAAATATTCAAAAAATTTGATCGGTTGCTGTTTTAATTCACCAAATATTTTACATATTCATTTTCTTCCCATTTTCTTGCATATAAATCATTTACCCAACATTTTCTTCTGTTCATATAAGGAGTTATTTTAGCATTAAATCCTCAGACAGCATCAACGTAGTGGCGTCCGTTTTGACAAACTCGACACACGGAACACCATGAATGCGCATCTAATGTAACCACTAAAATAAAATAGTCGTGCGAGTAAATTCCGTCAGAGCTCGCACGTATAAAAAAACGCACGGACCCGCGTTCAATGTAACCACGGGCTTATGATTTGTGAGGTACGCTGAAGATTTGTGGACGTTTTCGTAGTGGTTTAGCTGAAGAATTGAAGTCACTGGAATTTAATATATTTTTACGTTTCTGCCTACACATCGCGTTTAAATGTCTGACGTTATTGATAGAGACCCCAGAATTGTACGCGAGTCTACAGGGTGCGACAATAGTGCGTCGGGCATCTGTAGTTTCTAGAATAAAAAAACTTAGGATTTTTGTTTAAATGCAAACCTAAAGTATGTACGAGGATATATTTCAGGAAAATATTTTAACTTCTGTAGGGTGGCTCAAAAAGTGTGACTGGATCATAATGATTTTTCTTAAATTGAACACCCCGTATATTATTTTTTTTTATTAGATGGAGAATTATAAAATGAAATTTTTTTGTATTTAAAGTATTTCAAAATGTTCAAAATGGTTTCGTAGATACACGCAGTATTATTTCATATAGCGGTTTCAATGGTAAAATACGAGAGAAAAATCACTGGGCGCCTTTGATAAAAATTTACTGTGGAAAATGCCATATGAATTATAAAACCGCGAATATCTGCAAAACCATTAAAAATTTTGAAATACTCCAAATGCAAAAAACTTTTTTTATTTCTCCAGTTTCTGCAAAAATAATATACGGGGTATTTAAAAAAGATATAGGGGATCCAGGGTATACAGGGGAAAAAACTAAGAAAAATTATTTTATATTTCAGAATGTTTGGCGTAGAATTTTGAACAACCTGTATTATTTACGATTACCATATTTATAGCGAAGTACGTACAGACCACCTAAAATAAATACCTATTATAGTTTTGATTTCAGGACAGGTTTTTATATTTTTAATAATTGTTTTAAGAATGGCTAAAAATAATTTTTTTACTTATTTATTACTATCTTTGAAACTATCGAAATATATTTACTCATATATTAGGATATGTAAAGTGATATAAAAAGAAGCTAAACATGCAATAATATACAGGGTGTTCCATTTAAAAAAATCATCCCGATCCTCTCACACTTTTTTGAGCCACCCTATAGAAGTTAAAATATTTTCCTGAAATACATCCATTACATATTTTAGGTTTGCACTTTGTTCTTTGTTCGCACAAACAAAATTCACAATTTTTTTATTCTAGTAGCTATAGATGCCCCACGCACTATTGCCGGACCCTGTATATGAGATTGTCAAATAAAGTATACCAGGGCCCGTATTCTGTAACTTTGAAAACGCTAAGCGCTTTTAGACGCTCAGCGTATATGACGTTAATTTTCGCCGAGCGCGCACTTAATTAACGATTTCGGTATTCTCGTCTGACGCGCTTAGCGTCTTTACTGATTGCGCTGAGCGCTTTGAAAACGGTAGCCTTAAAGAATCGTTTTGCTTGTCGAACTGTCATTGAAAATCGAAAAAATTGTGATTTTGTGCGTTATCTTGCTCTTTAGTGAAAATTACTACTTCTTCTATAAATTCCTCAATAAGTAATTGATAGTTTACGACTTGGCAGCTATAAATATTGTTCAAAACATCGAAAATGCCGAGAAGCGTCTTCAACACTTCCCTCGTATAATAAGAATAATGACAAATTCCCTAGAAAAACAGCTTGACATAACTCAACAATAGGTTATGAAATTCACGTAACATTGACATTTTTCATTGTTACATCCGTCAGTTATCAACTTTTGACTATTACCTACATTAGAAATTGTGATGTTGCCAATATGTACTCAACGCGTATCCAGAACACGATTCGCATGGCAACGAGAATACCAAAATCGACTGCCTTGCGTTTTGCTGATCGAATACTTGCGCTCACCGCTTTGAAAGCGTAACGTTTTTATGTCAAAGTTACAGAATATGGGTCCAGGTATTTGAACGGAAAATAATACTGTTGAGTCGAGTGTAGTGTAGGGTTCGTATTCAGACTTGTTATGAAAGGGAAATACTGTTATTTTATAATTATATAAACGAATGAATACAGAATGTAGTTAATTTGTAAAAACATTTTTTTGATAACGGTTACTAAATTTTTTAAAATTAAAACACATACAAACAGATAACGAAAAATGAAGATAACGCACAAAACCACAATTTTTTCGATTTTCACTGACAGTTCAACAAGTAAAACGATCCTTTAAGGCAACCTTTTTCAAAGCGCTCAGTAAAGATCTTTCAATCAGTAAAGATGCTAAGCGCGTCAGACGAGAATACCGAAATCATTAAGTGCGCGCTCAGCGAAAATTAACGTCATATACGCTGAGCATCTAAAAGCCCTTAGCGTTTTCAAAGTTACAGAATACGGGCCCTGAAGTTTTTCAAAGGTGGCCCGCCTCTATATCTTTGAAATTTAGTAAGTTAGTATATGATATAAGTCAGGATTGATTGACATATTCATTAGTTCCAGTCACTTCCTATTTCCCTGGAAAAGACTACGATTTTTGATTTTTAAATAGTACCCTGGACATTTTTTATTTTAATTCATGGAAAAGGACATTCTGAATAGAATGACATATATGTTACATTTTCAATTAAGTTGTTTTTTTCAATCTTGCTAAACCACTACGAAACAAATATATTATTTGTTTATTATATAATTATTTGTTTATTATATAATTATGTGTATATAAAAATATGGTTATCTGTTTCTTTTGTATATAAATGTAATATTATTACTAACACTCTTCATATTATTAATAAAATAACTTATTGGTTATCTAACCAAGTAAGACTTTTTGTATATTATTGAGTATTTTTTTGTCATTAAAGTACTCAATTTATGTGGAATCAATATGTGGCATGTAAATAAAGAAGAATTTTAAGTCGCGTTTCAGCCGTCATGGTGGTTTCGTTTATAAAAAAGAACTTAAGCCTGTAAAAAGCCAGGTTAGATTACTAGATCTGTAAAAGTACAGTATGATCGAGAAAAAAAACGGCTTCAGCGATGGCTATGAAATAAAGATTGTTGTCATTTTGTATGTAAAATTATTTGGGGAATGTTATTTCGTCATTTCCAAGCCAACTCGACTCCTTTTTTTTTCGATCATACGGTATTATAGAGTTAAAGTTGTTCTGAATTTCATTTTACGGTCTAAATGTCCTATTTTAAAGAGAGATTTTCAAAGAAATATAGTTTTTTCGTCATTTCTATGAAAACACCAAATCATTAAGTTTGTTCCAAGTTGAAATTTGGCACATTGCCGAAAATGGAAATTTTAGACAATTTTTTTCTGATACTTTGATATTTCGTCCTCTAACCTACTTTTTGCCTATATTAGGTTCTCCTATGTCTTGTCTATGAGAATGATTTCCTCTTTTTATAAGCATTATATGTCGACTTAAATCCGCATAAACCTTTTGTGTAATTATTTCATATTTGTCTAGTAATTATGAAAAGCGGTATCCTTATGACATTTCTTGAGCATGAACACATGATAATCTGGCTGTAAGTGTGGTTTGATTATTGTGGTTATTATCGTAGGGACTCAGTTAAAAACGCAGACCGGTCAAACCGTGATAGTACAAAACGCCGGCGTCCAACAACGACAATCCGTACTTATTCAGCCAAATACAGGGCAGCTTCTGCTTTCCCAGGGGCTCCAGGGTCAAGTGCAATTGGTCCCCGGGTCACAGCCAGGACAATACGTCCTGCAAACTAATCCATCTCAAGGTTAGTCAGTTGATCGATTGATTGTATTTTTTGTAGTTGAGAAGTAGAAATGTTTTCTTTCCATATTTTTTTTGGAATTATGAAACGAAATTTCCCATTTTTTTGTTAATTGTTTTGTTCGTCAAGTTCGTTTAGATAACGTGTGATCCTCAGAGAAATAAGTAAACCTAGAGCATATTATGCAGAAATAGAGTTTTATCATTAGAGTTTCATTTTAAATTTATTTTGGGATATATAGGAATATTGAGATGATAGAAACTTATTTCTCTTGAGGTGCAGTCACTAGTAGAAGACATGAGAGACGTAGTTTTCTAAAAGATACTGCTTATATTTCTACTGTGTTAAGGAAAAAAGCTTTTTATTACAACAAGTTAAATTATATATCATTATAATGTCAAAGATAAAGCAAGATAGTGTGTTTTTGGTTCTCATTTATTTGAAAAATTCAGACTTAACCAAATTCAAAATTTTTATACATTGTTCAATGACTTCTTATCGTTGAAATTAGTTCAAAAATTAGGTGTTTGGTAATTGAAGTTGAGCCAGCCATTTTGGGGCATAAACTGGGCTTTTAATTGTCTTATACTACAAAGAAAAATATACCTGAATAAAATTACCGAGTTCAGCGTTTATCATAGTTCACGTTAACTCGAGTTTAAGCTCTTTATCTAACCAGGCATTAATGTAAATGCCACATCTGTACACCAGTTGTAGTTAAGGCGTTTTTCATTAGCATAGCAGATTTCGTCTTTCTGTTTATGACAATTAAATTTATAACATGCTTACTTACTAACTCACCTTGATTTACATTGCTTACTTTATTAACTATTTCTAGCATGATATTTTTATTTGAAAAGACTTTAGGCATTTTTCCTTAAAATTTATAACATGCTTACTTACTAACTCACCTTGATTTACATTGCTTACTTTATTAACTATTTCTAGCATGATATTTTTATTTGAAAACACTTTAGGCATTTTTCCTTAAATTTTAGAGCATTTTTAAAAATACTTAATACCTATCTGGTCATCGAAACTGTGTGATCTGGATTTTAACGTGTAACACATGATGTCGACAGATTAATGAAATATCAAATGTATTAAAAAGAGATAAAAGTTGGGTTGATACATTTCTTCTATGCTGTATTGCCGGATTTTGCATCAAAATTTCAAACCGCACAACGGGTTTTTATGAAAAAAAGTTGCATCTAAGCTTGGAACTTTATTTTTCACAATTAGTTACTCATTTTACTACAGCTGTAATATATTATATTTAGCTTAGACATATTATCTTCACTTCAGTAGTATACATAAAAGTTTTTAAAATAGTGTATTTTGTTCTACGCGCATTTTCCTACGAACGTCAGCCTTAGCCGCTCATTTATATTTATTTATCTCTGTCGCATGCATTAAAATACAGACCACGCAGATGAAGTGACCAGGGCTAGTATATGTAGTAGTGTCACTGGCATGCTTTGTACCTTGATTTTTAACCGATTGACATTTTAGATACAAAGAACGAATATTTTGACTTTGAGGTGTTTTAGTTGCATTATTTTTTGAAGAATAATCAACAATACTAGTGTTATTTATGTGGCATTACACTGAAATTTGGCATTACACATTTTCTTACTGAAACCAAAAAAAACCTCTTTTGTTCTAAAACTGAATTTGGAATCTACTGATGCAGACTTTTCAGTAGAGTCGTCAGAACGTCAGAAGTTAAATAGATAGATGTCCGTGAAAAAGATAGAGAATTTATTTGTTAGTTAAATTTTGAAACAATAACTAAGCAAAAAAAATATTTTGCCAACATTCAATAATTTTGGCGATTAGCCTAATAATGCTTGGACTACAATGATATTTCTAAGCCTATTACTACGTCATATAATATGCCAATAAGACGGACAACAAAATAATTCAACTAAAATGTTAATATATGGAGTAAAATTAAATTAAAATGAAAAAATATGAAATCGAAAATGTTTTTTTTTCTAGGTTATGTGGTGGCTCAATCGCAAACCGCTGTCGTTCATGGCCAACCTCAAACTGTCCTCGTGGCGCAACAGGGTCAAAATGCCGGGGCCAAGACCATTATCATTTTGCAACAACAACCTGCTAACTCTGCCACACACCACCAGAAGGTGATGGTCACGCCCCAAGGACAGCAAGTCGTCGTTACTCATGTTCCTAGACCAGTCGTACATTCATCTACGGTGAGTTGAAACTTCAAAAAATATGAAAATGTACAGGGTGTCCCACAATTAGTGCGACAAACTGAAAGGGGTTGTAGAGGGCATCAAAAACACGCCATCTGAGTATAGGAATCCATGTCCGGAAATGTGCCGCTTTGGCAGGAGGTGGAGTGAAACGTAAATTTCAAGTTGCATTATTTATTCAAAACATTTACAAAAACTGCTCAAAGTGCCGCCCAGGCGTGTGCATTTGTGTCTTGAACAGAATGGACGGCACTTTGAGCAGTTCTTGTAAATGTTTTGAATAAATAATGCAACTTGAAATTTACCTTTCGCTCCACCTCCTGACACATTTCCGGACATGGGTTCCTATACTCAAATAACTTGTTTTGATGCCCTTTACAACCCCTTTCAGTTTGTCGCACTAATTGTGGGACACCCTGTATATATATTAGTTTTATTTTATTATTTGATATACAAACCTTAACGTACCCAAAGTAAACCAAATATTTATCGTAAGATTTACCGGAAGTTATAATAGTCTAAGAGCTAGCAACGTTTTCGAGAAAGTATTTTAAGACGTCTCGGCTGGAACTCTGTAACGAAATAGCGATCCGTAGCGATGAAGAATACTGACCTTGGCCGTACAAACTAAACGGCAAGCGACAGTATTCTTCATCGCTACCGATCGCTATTTTGTTACAGAGTTCCATCCCTGGCTCTTTGATATATCTTTTACTATGCTCTCTGGAACAGCATGCGGCCCGTCTGGCTGCCGATACCCGTTGCGTTCACTACTGCGCATCGGAAGAAGATCCTCTATTTTTTATTAATTTAGTCCTATAAATTCTAGTATTGAATATAAATCGAACATGTCTCCATAGAGCAGTGCGTAGAGTTTCCGACCACGAACCGATGAGTTCGTATCCGGGTCAGGTGAAAGACTTTTTTATTTTATTTCAATTTATATTCTGATAGTAAAGTATTAAATAATTCTGGTAATTAAAAAAAACAAATATTTAATACTTTACTACCAGAATATAAACGAAAATAAAATAAAAAAGCCTGCCCTGACCCGGATTCAAACTCTGAATCATCGGTTCGTGGTCGGGGATCTTCTTTCAATGCACAGTAGGGAACGCAACGTTTACCGGCAGCCAGATGGACCGCATGCTGTTCTAGAGAGCATAGTAAAAGATATATCAAAGAGCCAGACGTCTTAAAATACCTGTTTTTCCGACGTTGCTAGCTCTCGTACTATAAAATTCGGTCTAAAAATTTGTTTATTGTATGGTTCCAGGTGTCGAATAATAATGTCCAACAAACCAAGCCCATATCCAGACCTACGCCTTCGCCCTCCCCAGCACTTAGTACTACTTCAACGTCCTCGACAATAAGCAACGGAGTAAAAGAGAAACAAGAAGACTTAACCCCCAAAGTTCGCATAGCCAGGGATTTGACTACGCCATTCGTTTGCGAATGGAACGATTGTGTGATGTAAGTTCAAACTTAATAGATAATAAATTTTTATTTTTTCATTTGTTTGTACTTTTTTAAACCACTATGAGGAACATATGTATTTTTTAGTGAAACAAAGTTTAAGTCGCCCAACGAAGTTTACATGCACGCATGCGCCTCCCATTGTCCCCAGGGCGACGAGGAAGTGATCTGTCAATGGGATCGATGTGATATGTTGAAGAGGAAGCGATTCTCGTTGATGACACATCTTCACGACAAACACTGTAACATTGAGGTAATGCAATTTGATCCTAATATATTAGTCTTATTATTATTAGTATATATTACAAAACTAATCTCTAGTGTCGAAGTTGCAAAATTCTTCTGTCATTATTTTTTATAATATACCGGGTGCGTCTGAAAAGTGGCTCACCCCTGTAACTGTAATTTTTTCAGATAAAAAAACGATATTTGGTATGTTAGTATATGACAGAAATTAGGATTGATTGACATATTCAATAATTGTTTTCAGCCACTTCCTGTTTCACCGGAAATTACTTCAATTTGTGATTTTTAAATGACACCCTCGGTACTTTACTTTATTCAATAGAAAATAACACTCTGAATAGAATGACTTATCATAATATATCAACTTTTGACATTCTCGCTTAATAAAAAGTCGTATTTTAAATTTCAATCTAGAGTGGCATGGCTATGTTAAACACATTAATTTTTAACCAAGGAGCTTTGGAAAAATAGATTTGATCGTCTAATGTTCTTGTCTTGTCCTGGCCAGTTAAAATATGCCCAAATCGTCTTTTTTTTTGTAACGAGAGTGGCTCATTAGCATATTTGGAAAAGCATTGCTTTTACGAATAATTTGGTAGCACATACTTGTTATGTTGAGTAATAATGTCATCATGAACCGCATTTTATATTTTTCTAGGCCTACTTTTTACAAACGCCATTATGCATATGGCAAATTCCAATGTTCGGTTCATTTAAAATTATAATATAAATTTTACTTTAGTTATTTATTTTTAAACAGATAAGTAACCCTTGAATTTGATAGGCAATGAAACAAAGTTTGGTCAGGCGGAAGAAAGTGTCCCAAGGCTTGACGGTGGAAGCTCCCCCGCCTACCCCCTCTAATCACCCGGGTTACGCCCCCGACGCCGCGCTACACGCTATCAAAAGGCATGCGCTGGAGTTTGTCAACCCCAAAGAGCTTCAGGTAAGTGCAGAGAGGCTGTACCAACCTAATAGCTACAGCTTATTAATACCAGCTGATTATATCTGCGTAAATTTGCCGGACTTATTATCTGCTGATCATATACACCTACACCACGGTCTGTGTATACCAAATACCTCAAAAGTATAAGTAAACCTAGAAGTTTTAAACTACTTGTTGATGCCATCATGTTTCTGTCTAAACAAAGTACAAAATATTGAATATCAAATACATAGGTATTGATACTCAATAAGTGTATTTCTACCAACACAAGATAATCCGCTGATATTTGAATAAACTATGCTATAGTACAGTTAGTATGGTCTATACAACCATCGTTGAACGTTACGTCATCATTATTTAATATCCGTTTTAGAGGATGTCTGAGGTGAATTGCTTGATCGGTCTTTATTCATTTTGGTTGCATTTCATTGTATAACTTTTGGAGGCCATACTAATTTTAGTAACAAAAAGATTTGTTTTTTAGAGCGCAGTCAATATTTCATTTTGACATTTAATTTGACACAAACATAGAGAGCATGACAATATATGAAGTAACGTTGAACTATAGTTTAACTACGACTTTATATGCATTAAGGCGAAATATTTGCTAGGGATTCCAAAAGTAAAAAGGCGTAATTTACTAACAAATTACGCGATTTTTTATTGCTTTGCTTTTTTGTGTTGGGGCATACATACGGTTTATGCAGTGTGGGTAATAAAAAAGTAAGTTTAAGTTGCAAAAATAGAATATAAAAAAATAATACTGTACTATGTATTATGATCTCAAAAACTTTTTGTAAAGATGTTATAATATCTCAAACAAATTGGCTCTGAGCTTTGGAAAATGTCGTTTTAAACACACTGTATATAACTAAAACAGTAATTAATGAGAAGTGGTGGTGAACATTGGTGATCCATTCCCAGATATTTAAAATCGAGCGAAATTTATCTGTCATTGACATACTGTTTTAATTTGACCATAGATCAAAGCGACTAAGCAGGGCGTCTCTACATCAATAAAAGTCCTACCCCCACCTACAGATCAGGTGAGGTGCTTGTACTTGTAATTCTTGTTATTGTTTTGTTATATTTTTTGTTTGTTTTGTCAATATCACTGTCTTTTATGTTTACAAAAACACGTTCTTTTTGTATACACGTTTTATATGTTTTATGTATCCCATGCAGACATATCTACCGGGTGTTGCATCGTCGGACGGGACATAGGAAATCCCATGTAAATTTTAATGGGGTCAATTATTGGCTTCCCTAATTATTTTAGAGAATAATCCTATTTAGGTTTATTGAAGAGCACTAAAACCCATATTCAAAAGAATAACTTTAGATATTTTTGATTAGCTCGTTTACGAGTTATCGCCGATTTCTTTTTAAATATTTCTCCTTTCTTATGGCCCTGTATTTACTTATGAGCACCAGTCAAGGTAAAAGATAACTGTCAAATGATGTTGTCATTTCAGAAATTTACCTATTTAGTGCTTTATTATTATTGAAAACTCATTCCTACATCGGAAATCTTAAAGATGTATTTATAATACAAATTTATATGAATTAAAGTAAAATATAGTAATCAATTACAAGGTTAATTACAGTATTATTACAATATTCAATAACTTATTAATTTAGGTACTATTATATTGTTAGAACTTTAGGATTTAAGAAGATGTTAAATATTCCTCCATTGACTGCTAGACAATAACCCAGGCGATCATAAAATTCTCTTACATTCTCTAGTTGGTAAACTGAAAGTCTATTGCATTCGGCAAAAATAGCATTTTTTAACTCGTCTAGATTTGGGTATTTTTTGTCCTTGTATATCCTGTTTTTTAAATGGAGAAAGAGATCCCAGAGAAAGAAACCATTTGGCGAAATAACAGGAGACCTTGCTGGCCAATTTACTGTATGATTTAGGCCAATAACGTTTCCGTTAAAACTATTGTCTAAATATTCCCGAACAGCCAGGGTACTATGTGCCGGGCAGCCATCCATTTTGTACCAAACTTCCTGATTTTCCCTAGCGGCATCATGTAAAGCAGGTAAAACATGATTTTCGAGTAGTTCCAAATAATATTCTGCATTTAAATTTCGCGTAAGAAATAATGGCCCAATAATATTGTGTCCGAATATCCCTGCCCAAACATTTACTTTCTGTGGATATTGCGTCTTTGTTTCGACAAACCTGTGTTGGTTTTCTTTGTTCCAATATCGATAATTTTGAACATTAGGTTCATTATTTAAGGTAAACGTGCATTCGTCAGTGAAACATATGTTTTTTAAAAATTCCCTATCCGTGTTTGCTTTTTCCATTATATCAAAACAAAACGCCTGCCGCCGTATTTCGTCCCCATCTCGTAGCTCTTGGTGCTTTTCATATTTGAAGTAATAGTATTTATGTCGTTTCAAAATTCGAAACGCTGTAGTGTGATCTATTCCTATTTCATCCTCAAGTTTCCTTGTGCTGATCTTTCCATCGTTCTCTTCCACGCACAATAAAACTTCCAAGTCGGTATCATTTCTTGCATCTTCTCTTTGTTCCTGCCTTGCTTCACATCTGCAGTTATTTATTAGGGTAACTTTGGTCTCAAATCTGTGGATATTCCTTGCGATTGTAGGTTTTCCAGGTATCGGTCTATTCGGATACAGAGCAGCAAACATGTCCGACACCTTTTGATAACTATTTCCTTGATAATACCATTTAATCATCAATACTTTTTCTTCGGTAGTGTAATTCATGGCTAATATTTTCGATGTAGGTATGAGTTTTTAATAATAATAATAAAGCACTAAATAGATAAATTTCTGAAATGACAACTTCATTTGACAGTTATCTTTTACCTTGACTGGTGCTCATAAGTAAATACAGGGCCATAAGAAAGGAGAAATATTTAAAAAGAAATCGGCGATAACTCGTAAACGGGCTAATCAACAATATCTAAAGTTATTCTTTTGAATGTGGGTTTTAGTGCTCTTCAATAAACCTAAATAGAATTAGTCTCTAAAATAATTAGGGAAGCCAATAATGGACCCCATTAAAATTTACATGGGATTTCCTATGTCCCGCTCGACGATGCAACACCCGGTATACTATTTATAAGTTTATTTTCTTATTAGTATCGTTTATTAACTGTCCAAGTAGACAGACCTGATTATCTTAAATCAGTGATCTGGATTTTAATGTGTTAAAATAACAAGAAGTGAATAGATATATTTCTTCTGTGCGGTATTGCCGACTTTTCCATAAAAAATGAAATTGACCAAGGAGGCGTTTTGAAAATCATCGAAGCAAGGGTTAAACCACTAATATATCAACAATTAATTCATCATTTTGCTAGAGTTCTAATATCTCAAATTTTATATTCGTTTGCTGCAATCTTTCCTTATGCCTGCCGCACGTAACTCTGCATTTCTTGGCATCTCTGTCTATCAACTAGTTTCAGTGTAGATCAACTACCTTCGTCTTACTCATTAAAATACAGACTGCCGATTTTGAGATAACTAAGCTGGTATAAATTTAAACGTTTTTGAATCATTTTTAATTTTATGATCAAAAGTGATATTTAAAGAGCGGGAGATTATTAATCGTTTTTTTAGTGTCTAATATTTTTTAATGAATTTATGATCTTGTTTTGAGAAGTTTATTTTACTTAAGTTTTCATAACAAGTTTAACAAATACATGACTAAAATTAGTTAAAAAAAAATAAAAAGCCTATTTTTAATGGCTCTTTAATCTCGCTCTAAATTTTTATTTACTCTCAGTAGCAGCTGTGTATACAAATACGTATAATCAAAGCTCTTAAAAGTAAATAACTTATGAAATTATTGTACTTGAGTTATTGTTTTTGTTAGGGATTTATTGCTCTTCACAAGAATCAATTGAATTGATTTTTGTTTGTTTTAAATTTGTTGGTATATCCAAATATAATTTGAGACTAAAATACTGATACTGATAAGAAAAAGAAACTCATTTCTTAAACTTTAAAGTGTCGTAATATTTTTTAGGTGACAATGTTTTTTTTTGCTATTTTCAGGATGATAACGAAGGACCAGTGACCAAAAGCATCAGATTGACTGCCTCACTTATTCTGCGCAATTTGGTTATTTACAGTAGTAATTGCAAGCGGTAGGTATTTTTTTTATTAAGATTTAAATCATGGGGTTATAATAGCATATGTAGTTATAGTAGTATATGTAGTTTTCCTCGCGTTACTATTCCTCATTTCGAAATTTGACAACGTGTATAGTAACACTATGGCTGAAACATAAAATACGTAGACCATTAGGGTGACCCAAAAAACTGACCTATGGAATTTATGGGTTAAAATGAACCTAATAACCGAAAAAAGAATATCCCCGGAAGGCAGGATTTTTAGCTCAATTTAAAAAGGTGTCGGCGAACATTCAATGTTTTCCATTTAAACAACACGTAAAAAAATCTTTTTCCATTAAAAGTACCATAACTTTGAAACGGTTTACGATAAAAAAAATTACATCGCGGATTATTGTAGAGCATAAAATTTCCTTAAAAATCTATCTGAGAGTAATCTAGTTTATTTTTACTGAATATGAAAATTTTTAATCAATAAACACTAAAACTGATTGATTTTTTTCACTATTCAAAGCTTTCAAATATATGAATTATTGAACCGAAAAAAATACTCTCGGATAGATTTTTTAGTAAATTTTATGCTCTACAAGAATCTGCGATGTAAAAAAAATTATTGTAAACCGTTTCAGTTATGGTACTTTTAATGGAAAAATATTTTTTTACGTGTTATTTAAATGGAAAACTTTGATTGTTCACCAACACCTTTTAAAAGTGAGCTAAAAATCCTGCTTTCCTTTGATTTTTTTTCTCGGGTATTAGGTTCATTTTAACCCATAAATTCCATAAATTAGTTTTTTTGGCTCACCCTATAGACCATGGATATATAAATGTCTCCTGGAAAAAAAATTATGTTCCTTACTCAGAACATTTTCATTTTAAAGATATATATTATTAATCTGCTTTTATCTTTCTTTTATGTTATCCCATTTCATTTTAGTAAATATATTTTAGCAGAAATATAAATTGTTCAAAAAACCAAAAATTAGAATTCCTATTAAAGAATTTGAATTTGCATCTCATCAACTAAATCAAAATAGTCAAAATATCAAGACACAATTTTTAATCGGCATTAAACAGCTTACTCAATTGTGCAAACAAGAGAACGAAATCAGTGGTGCACAGAAATTAAACTTTATTGGTATTAAAGTATTAAAGTAGCACTTATAGTAACTTTTACTCTCAAAATGTAATTCAAATTTCTAAAAGCACTTGAAAGGAACTTTTAATAAATTGAAAAGAAAGAAGACTAATCCCCATGTATCTATAAAACAAACAAATCGGACCTATGCTGATATACCAACATGTGAAATTGTATATTGGGTCAAAACAACTCATGTATATTGGTTAGTTTATTTTTTGTACATGTCTGTACTGTCCTTTATACATGTCTGTGGCCATTAATGTCATTGATTATTTTCAAAACTAGTCGGATCTAAAAATTGGGAGTGCTAAGTTTATTCAAACCTTTTTAAGCTATTATATTTCTTACATAGCCAATCATGATACAAGAAGGTTAGATAAGATCCTTGGCGGTCGCAAATCTGTTTTCCGCGCGCATGACGTCACTAGGGTAGTAAGTTTCTGTTAAGCTCCGCCAACTACATGCGCAATATCTTCTCTCAAAAGATCCCTGGCGGTGGCAAATCGGTTCTCCGCGCGCATGACGTCACCCGGATAGTAATTTTCTGTTAAGCTCCGCCCACTACATGCGTAATATCGTATCTAACCCTCCTTGTATCATGATAGTCAATCAACAGAAGTGCGTTTAGCCACAATTAAAACCACTGTATCTACTAGAAATATGAATAATGAATATGTACTGACTTGTAATGTAACAATCAAAAAGATTTGCTAAAACGACATTCGAGGGAAGCATCGATATTCACAAGCCGCTGGGTTCGCCGATCATTTCCCGACATTGACTAGCGAATGTACTTGTTACAAAGCGTTACATTACAACACTCGGCTCAAATCTATCTCCGCATTAAAGTAATATTCATTGTTGCAGGTACTTAAAATCGTATGAGTCCCACCTGGCGAACATCGCCCTGAGCAACGTGGAGTCGTCCAGAACGATAGCCCAAATTCTGTACGACATCAACGACGGCGCGTCACCCAGGTGACCTGTTTCCGAAAAACGGGCGCGAATGTGAATTCTGTATAGTTAGGTAGATAAGGAAAAAAGTGTAAATTATTTAATTAAAACAAATAAAAAAGATGTACAAATGTTAGCTGTAGTAGGTTAAAAGCCTGTTGTTATTTTTATATAATTTACTAGGGTAATCGAAAGGCTTCTGGACAATTCAAGCTCTGAAACTGTCTTTTTACTTATATACAGGGTGGCATATTGTTCTGAAAAAATACCTTCTCAGGTTTTTTATTTGACATTTTCATTCCAATGATTTTAGTGTTTTTTTAGACTATAAATTGGACTGAAAATCTTAAAACGCAAAACTCGATATGGAGTTTTATCAGAACTGTTGGACACCCTGTATAGATTATATTCCTCGTGCAATTTATTTTCGCAGTTAGGATATCATCAAGAAGGGATCGAAAAAACGACTTTGTACATACGTTTAGTGTATTTTGGGATACTTTTCCATTTTACATGTGATAGAAAGAGAGAAGCACATTTTTTTAATCAGTATTATCTGAAAAATGGAAGAATTCGTACGTTGGCCTGTAAATTACGTGCTTTATTATATGTTAATTCTTTTTTTACAAAATGAATAGTGTTAGTCTTCAAATCCAGTGTCGAGAATTTTATTTCTTTATTATACTTAGGTAATATAATTTTTGTAAACAAGAATTATTATTGGTTTTTCTTAAATTATTTATTTTACCGTGTGTTTGGAGTAAAAATAACGTCACATTAAGCGTAGAGATAACTTACATGTTTTACAGTTTTTTACACAACTTGTTCAATAAAAGTTTTTTGAGAATCTAATTAGGTGTATGAGGTGTACTTTCTTTTTTAAATATTTTTCACTTCCTAGCACCAATGCTGCTAATTTACTTATTTTCAATTAAAGTAGTTATATATTTTGTGATTCAACATGAAATTCCAAACATGCTTTGTACATATTCTGTAACTTAATTTAACCGTTTTTGAAATATATGTAATTTTATGTTGACAACACAGATTCATTTACAGATGAGGCACTTTTGTCTTGCTGATAAACGCCGCCGTGATCTCTAACCTTTAATAGGACTATGGTGTTGTCAGACTTAGTTTTTTTTCTCAAATGCATTGTTGCCTTTTGTAAAAAATGTATTTCCAATTGAAATAATACTTAATCTGTAGTACAGCTTTTTGTAGCCATTCATCATACACATGCGCTTTGTATTCGGTCCCTTTAAATAGGATATTTAAAGAGACTTAATGATAGCATTCTTGTTTTATATAGTTTCTCTGTCTTACTGATAAATCTGTGTTATTCTATGTCGACATTTGGCGAGCAGAAGCACATTTTTCAGCACTTATACTTTTTAGGTAAATTCATGTTCTCTGTCTTGTAGAGAAGGTTACACCCTATTTACATTTTCATAACAATTAATTAAATATTATACAGGATGCTCAAAAAAATAAAAAGTACAAAAAATCGACTATTTCAAGTGGAACTCCTAATATTGTTCTTTATGATATTGTCTATTCCTAAATAGAACAGTTTTTGAAGTATTTGCTAAGGTGCAGGTATAATATTTTTTTTAAAACTAGACGTTACTGTCAAAAATTTCGACTATAGTAAAACTCGATACAACATGTTATTTATACACTTACTATGACATCATTTTTATTCAACCATACTACAGTACATGTAGTAAAACTAATATAATTTAAACGTGGTGTAGTCTGCCATATTTTTATTTTAACTTTGATAAAGTTTATAATTTAAGATTTATGTAAGTTAATTCTTGTTGAATATTCAAATTAGAAGAAAATATGAAACCAATTTACATTATATTGACAAATTTACATATAACTGAAATACAGCAAATTTTAAATTAAATTGTTATTATATTTATTTACTATTGTTAAGACCACTATATATAAGAGGTGGCATAGTCTGTACAACGCTCGTTCAACGTTACGTCATCATTATCTAATATCAGCTCTAGTGTATCTGAGATTATGCAATATGATCGAAAAAAAAATGGCGCCGGCGATGGCTATGAAATGAAGATCGTTGCCATGTGTAAAATTATATGATTATTATTTGTCAACAAGATTGTAACCACAAATGTGATGTGACAATTACTGGGAACAACCGTGTCGTGATATACAGTCTATTTCATCCCGTTTTTACTTGACAGAAAGGTAACGTTGGACGTTGGTTGTATAGATTTGAAATGTATATAAAGTCTGTCCTACGAGTCAGGAAAGATTTTGACAATCCGAAAAGCAACATAAAATACAATTTAATTTTGAATGCCTGTCATTTTTAGGTATCCTCTCGCTGGACAGACTACTGTATGTTTTTTGCTTAGGTTGTCTAATTTTGATAATTTATATAAATGAAAAAAAAAATTTTTTTCTTGTTGTACTTTGAATAAAACTATGAATAGTTGCTTTTTATATTATACAAACTTTCTACATTCTAATTTACAGGCCAGGTTATGTAATTTTGTTATTTTCGAGCGAGGTACAGAATCTCTAACCGACTGAGTTTCTTTTATATGTGCGTGCACATGACTTCGATTTCATATGTGCTTAGCATATCCATTTTAACCATTAAACCTGTAAAATATTACAAATATTATCGATGAAAATAAACTGCATTTAATGTGTGTCTGTTTTTATTTTCTTTGTTTTTTTTTTAATATAGTGAGAAACAGCAAAAAGACTAGACCGCGAAGGCTGGTTTTGAATTTAGTTTGGTTTGGTTTGGTAAGGTAATAAATAATTAGTTGAACCCCCAAAAAAATCTAATAAAAATACATTAATTAAAGATTAATGTTATTTAATTACAAGATTTATGTATTTACGCCACTGGATGAACTATAAAAATTGATAAAATTGATGTGCTAATTATTTTTGACAAGTACATAGAAATAAATGCGAGAATAAAAACATAATTGGTTAATTCCAAACGAATGTCTCGATCAATTAACTAATTATATTATGACTTAGCTTAAAAAAAGTTTCATTTTTTTTTTCATGGTTTTAGTATGGTACTTGACCGATTTTTAAAAACCTCTTGTAACTGATAATTTGATATTATAGACATATTATAGAATGAAAGTTTGACGCAGACCCGTGAATAAGTACGTAAAAAAAGCGAGCGAAAGGCTTCGTTTTCAACTGTTTTCAATTTGAATTAATGGTACTATATTGATTTGTTGGTTGCCTAATTCGAATTAGGGGAGAGATGGGTAATTAGTTTCATTTTTTCTTATTTAAAAACAGAACACCGCGAAGATAATAAAAAACATAATTATTTCTTTAAACGTCTGCTTGTAACTTACATTACACCATACAATGGGCAAAAACGGCTTCAGCTTTAGAAATGAGGTCGCTGCCATTTTATATGTAAGATTGTATGCCATATGGACATGGTTTTTCCGACCATATGGGATAGATACTCTTGTATATGTAAGTTACGGTTAAAGTCCGATGTCCGGTTAATGCTGACATTAACAGGCTAATGTTTGGACTTGGTTATGTTTTTGGTTGTTTTGTTTTGTGTTATTCTCGAGATTAACCGGGTAATGTCCAAGGTTATTAAAAGGTACCTTTTAATAACCTTGGGTAATGTCGAAATTAACCGGACATCGGACTTTAACCGCAACATACAGGTTGTTAACTGGACAGTTACTTATAGGGGATCAGAATGGCAACACTGCCTAATGAGAACGCATGCACTTACAGGGTTTTCTGCCGACTCGTCCCGTCGCGTCGTCTGTCGACGAGAGGGCCGAGGTTGCCATATTTCAACCATAAAGCTCTTGCCGCGAGTAATAAACAAATTAGCAACCTGTATATACAAAGTAACCCGAAAATGTTTTCATTATGTTTCGTGAATCTGGAAATATTCACACAATGGCACAAGTAACAGTTTGTGAGGTTCCTTTTTAATATAAGATTCATATTAATCTCGCTGTAATTTAAGCGCTGACCATAGAGAAATATAAAATAAAGTTTCTTTATGACGCTGACACAATATTTTGAGATTTATATACTTTTGACTTTTTTATTCAATAACAATTCCTAAAGACCACATCCAAATGATAATTAATTACAGGTAAATTGAAAATTCAATTTATCTGTGAATTAAAATGACAATTAACTGTCACTGTTAGAGATATTCTCTCGTTGGACAGACTTTATCTTGCATTGAATTTAAAGTAACTACCTATTGGTACCTATTTGCCCTATGTTCCACTAGTCATGGTACACTTACTATTTATTTTGATTTTAATAACAAATTTTATTTTGTTTTTTATTGGTAATTAAGTAACCTGTTAAGTAATTTTATGAAGTAGTGCCTATTAAATTACTTAATTGCTCCATATTTATCAGTTAATGTTATTGTCTTTCTGCTTTCAAAGCTTCTGTTTACCTAAAACAGACCTAAAATTCGATTTGGAAATCAGGTTAGAGGTCAAACGATAACAATCTGTTTCTAAAATAGAACAAAACAGCAGAGATCAGCTAATTTATATAAAACATTATGAATTTTAACACCAAGAAAGCATGATTGAAGAAGTTTTAACTGTTTTGCGCCGCGTTGATGCGGTGTGTTTTGATGTAGACTCTACAGTTATTAGAGAAGAAGGAATTGATGAGTTAGCAAAGTTTTGTGGCAAGGGATCTGAAGTCAGTAGTCTGTGAGTACTTTGTGTTAATTAACAAGAATAGAACACATACATGTAGCTGAATGATATTACATTGCAGCACAGCAAAAGCTATGGGTGGTTCGATGACATTTCAAGAATCCCTTCAGTTACGTTTGAATATAATTCAACCTTCGTTGAGTCAAGTTAAAGATTTTATTCGAAGTCAACCACCTACATTAACACCTGGAATAAAGTGAGCTTTGTCTTAGATTATTACATTGAGCCAATTAGAGAGATTACCTTTTAGAAACCTGGTTAATTTATTACATGCTAGAAAAATACCTGTGTACTTAATTTCTGGTGGATTCCAGTGCATTATAGCACCTGTAGCCAAAGAACTGCACATACCTTTTGAACATATTTTTGCTAATAGATTAAAATTTTATTATAATGGTAAGAAAAAAGCCTCTTTTCATTGACATTAATTTAAATGAAAATGGGATTGTGGGAAACACACATGGTGTTTGTAAAGTTCATATCACACTCATTTCAAAGAAGGTAAATTTTCAACATTCTTATTGAGATAATCTGTGTAAAAGTTCATAAATTTTCGATTTTTTAATGATCATCTTTTTACTATAGCATTTGGAGTAATCTGAGAACTTTACGACCTCACAATGATTTTTGTTATTTTTACATAATCCGTCTGAGAGGATAGTCTCCCAGTTCTATGGCAAGATATCAACCTAGGTGTGAGATGGTGCATTGTCTTGAAACAAAATTCCCTCCGCAGATATGGCCATTTTGATGCGATTTATGCCTTCGATTTGTCATAGCGTAATTGTTTTTTCTGTCCTCCAAAGATTTTTTCTCAGGTTCATTATTATTCGATTTTTTTTTGTCCTAGATGTTCTCAAAATTCACATTCCTCTCAAGAACAGTAAGAAAAAACGAGAAATTTCAGATTAAAATTTAAAAAAGTAACGCATTGATTTTCCTACCTATTGTATTCTTTGTACTAATGGAAGGGTCCAGGGGAATAACTTGTTAAGCGCCTGACATCTTCGTTTAAAAAAATAATATTTTAAATTTTAATCTACAGTGCCATGGCTTTGTTAAAAACACTAATTTTTAATCAAGGAGCCTTGATAAAATAACTTTGATCGTCTAATGTTTTTCGTCTCTTGCCCCCTGGCTAGTAAAAAATGCCCAAATCGTATTTTTAATAATATCTCAGGTTTTTTAAATGGAACGAGGATGGCTCGTCAGCATATTTGGAAAAAGCATTTTTTTATAAGAATCATTTAGTAACTTTGCAGTGGGATTCTGTAACCTCCGTAGCAAGAAATTTCCTGTCTAGCCTATGCTATTTGTATATGATTGATGAGTCACTAGACAGGAAATATGTTTACAGAACCGGGGCTTTGGTATTTCGAGTCAAATGTCGTTATGAACCGCATGTTACAATTTCAAATAAACCATATGCGAAAATGTCAAAAGTTGACATGTGATATGTCATTCTATTCAGAGTGTCATTTTCTATTGAATAAAGTAGAAATATATCGAGGGTGCCATTTAAAAATCAAAAGTTGTCATTTCCGGTTTTTCACAATTGAATACGTCAGTATTCAATTTTTTTTGGTCACTTCCTGTTTCACCGGAAATGACAACTTTTGATTTTTAAATAGCACCCTCGATATATTTCTACTTTACTCAATAGAAAATGACACTCTGAATAGAATGACATATCACATGTCAACTTTTGACATTTTCGCATATGGTTGCGACAATTATATTACAACAATTTTGCTACAATTGTTGCTACAACAAAGTTGCTACAATTATATTTTCGCATATGGTTATTGACATCAATCCTAATTTATGTCATACTAAATATACCAAATCTCGTTTTTTATCTGAAGAAATAAAAAAGTTGTAGGGGTGAGCCACTTTTGAGACGCACCCGGTATACCTAGTAAAAATATAGGATACACGGAAAGAACCTGATAACCACTAGCCGTCCGATGCTCTTCTGTAAAATTAGTAAAATGGCGCTTTTCATGTTTTTCCACTGGACCCTTCAATTATAAATTATTGACATTTGCTTGTTTAATTCGACAAATGCTTGTTCATTCTCTGGGAATGTTCTCCAATGATCTCATTCTAGAGACTGTCAAACAAGAACTAAGCATCGAAAATGGCTTAAGTCATAGTGGGTCTCTTTCAAGAAGATGCCAAAAGAAATTTTGCAGATTTTGTTGCATGAATGTTGCCTATTCATGGTGATGTCGGAAACTTTTCAGACTATTCTTGTACATATATTGATGGAATCGCATTTATATTTTCATCATATTTTAGGCGATTTTGCTGGTTTCGACGAGAGTCAACCTACTTCACGAAGCGGTGGTAAAGGTGTTGTTATACAGCATTTAAAAGATAAATATCATTATAGGAATTTAATTTTGATTGGGGATGGGGCCACAGATCTAGAGGCTTGTCCTCCTGCAGATGCGTTTATAGGCAAGTAGGAACAAAAAATACACAACACTAAATTCAGATATTTTCAAAACGACATTTTATGTTTAGTTATTTCTTTTTGACTTAAACTATTCACAATATAAGAATTATCTTTCTTTAATATCACCACTGATATTTTATTTTGTTAGGTTATGGTGGAAATATCATTAGGCCAAGCGTTAAAGCCAAAGCAAAATGGTTCGTCACCGATTTCAATGAGATTATCAACGCCATATCGGAATTGTAGAATATGGTTCACATAATTTTAATAAAAGTTTATTTTTACTATATTTTTTTATTAAAAAACCATATATTTCTAGTTTAATATAATAATATTTGCGGCAGTGTAACAACTGTGTTTAAAATGCATTCTTGCCTTTATTGTACACACTACGACACTACCCTCTTCATAACTATGGAATATTTTACAGTGACAAAAAGTTCACGTCAAAGGATTTTTTTATTATGTAGTTTCTCAAAGGGCTGGAATTCTGAATCACTTGATATTTTTTGGTATCATTTATTGTGATTCCACTTACATGTTTCAGGTTCATATTTTTGAGGTTTGAACTTCAAACTTCACATTGTTGTTAGATTGTTTAATTTTTGATTCCACATGTTTTAAGTTACTCTATAATTAAAAAAATATCCTTTTTGTTGCAAACTTTTTGGTGGACACCTGTATAGAGAATTTGTAAAAACAATTTGTCCAATTTTAATCCAAAACTACATTCTGATTTTGGAACACGAAATAACATAAAAATTCAAAGTTCTAGCGACAATGTTTCATTCATTTGGAAATTTAACGATCAAATATATAACATAATGTGAATATTAACATTTACATCAACAAAAAATTAGACTATCTTTTTTTCGTACGTTTTTTATGGAATTATGTCATCAATGTTGGTCCGATACCCATCCTTGAGGCGATCTTCAATTGCGATGCTGCAGCGTCTCTTAAGGAGAACAAATGTACCATCTCCATCTCAGACCTTGCCAAGGCTATTGCCTTGTTAAATAGATCGATGGCGATTATCAAATTGCCCCTAAAACCAAAATATATTTGATGTTCAAACTTCTGGTTTTTAAATATTTAATATTTATTTTATTTTGCTTATTTACGGGATTAATCCCACTAGAAAATAATAAATATAATATCAATATTAATACCTAACCTAAACAACTATAAGACCGTGGCCCAACATAGCTGCTCGCGTCACTCGCGTGTAGCGGCGCGTATCCGCGTATCGCGTACGGTGGAGGAGAGTGCGTACAGTGGCCTCACATGTCGCGCGTATTCAGGCGGATTTTAGTTCGCGTATTGATTAGGGACGGTATTGTTATTAAGCGAAAATGTGTAATGCTAATAATTTATTTTTATTTGAAAATTCTACAATAAAATTTAATCTAATAAACGGAGAATTTGGGTTCATATTAATAAAAGTATGGAAACTCATGGAGAATTCCATTCATCCACGGATTTTTTTTGAATATATGAGGATGTCAAATGTCAATTAGTTCTTTGGACTTGTTGTTATCAAAAGTTGCACAGAAGATATCAACAGAAACAACCAGATAGAGAAACCCAATTACACCTGAAGATGTAGTAGGTTGTTTATTCTGTTATAATTTAATGTTGACTAGATATTTAGAATTTGATTAAAAATTAAATTAAAATATATTTTGTTTATGAAAATACAATATGATCGAAAAAAACGCTGTCAGCGATGGCTATGAATGAAATGAAGATCGCTTTTATTTTATATGTAAAATTATATGGGGAATGTCATCGATCGTCATTTCCAAGCCAACTGGACGACGTTTATTTTATTATTATTTATATTACTTATATTATTTTTTCGATCATACGGTATAAGCTACTTTAATAAAAAAAACTTAAATTTCACTGAATTTTATTCATATTGAACGTTAATCAAACCATCTAATAATTAAGATCTCAAAGCTTGCAAAAAAGCTGATGAATTATTATACATATGTGAAAATGCGTTACTACTAACTTGTCTAATAAATAATAAAAGTGAATGTATAAACAGTGTTCTTTAATTTTAATTAATTTTATAATAATAAGTTATGAGCTATTTTGTATATTTTAAATTTATAAAAATTATTTTACTACTTTCCGCTCCAAATCTCATTAATTCAATTTTACTTTATTTAGTAATATCATGCCAACAACCATTATTCATATTAAGGTAATAGGTCAGTAAGCGAGGATAAAAATAGGGTATTACCTCCGAATTCTTGACACCCGCACGATTGACGTGAAATTTTAACAGCGAATAGAGATATATGTAAGAAACAAAAGTTACATAGTAGTGATGTGTGCTTTCACCCTGGGGGTGAGTGCCACTCCTTCTCGAGGGTGAAAAATAAATCACCTATTTTAATTATAAAAATCAATAAAGTGATGAATTCTAAGCAAAAAATGTTCTATAATATTTTTTCAGAAAATTGATATTTTCCGAGTTATTTAGTATTGAAAATGATTTTTTTATCTAAAAACTGCATATTTTTCTGCCATTTTTATAAATAACTGGAAAACTTTGCGTTTTATCGCAAAACTCATATAAGGCAAAAATAAAGTTTATTGAATAATGAATCGATTAATTTTTTGTTGATTACCATAAGTGTAATAATAGCCGAGTTATCACTCTGTAAAAGTCATTTTTATTTTTCGAAAACTAAATTGCAACTTTTTACCATAATAATGGCGAAAGAACACATTTTTCGAAGAAAATGAATATGACCGTTTTTAAAGTGATTGAAAAGACCATGTAAATGCCTTTTTAAAACAAAAACTCGCGGAGTTATGATAAAAATAAAATGGTCACCTCATTTCTTTTGGAAAAAAATTAACAACAAAATCTATGACTAAAATCATAAAAATAAAAACTATCAATTTATAGAAAATTACACGAGCTACAAATTAACCTCTATGGTTCAACAGTCTTGAACTCTTCATTTTTACGAGATTTTTGGGCTTTATAGGCTCAAAGAAGGTGATCTTTACACGCAAGTCAAACTAAAAGACGTAATATCTACGAAATAAAGAGATCTACAGAAAAATTGAAATAGAGCAAAGATATTGCAAAAAAGAAGACTTCCAATTTTATTTTGTTGCATTTTTTAGGTATCTTGCTTAGTTTTTGAGATATGTCAAAAAAATTAAAATTTTTTAAAAAATAATTTTTTTTCATTGTTTTCAATTTTTTTCCAAATTTAGGCATTCTAAACCGCTCGAACTTGCAGAATCCATTGTTAGTACCCTTGTATATGAATTTTTAAAGTAGCTCAACCTAAGACGTTTATGGATGTAAAGCACCAGATGGCGGGGCGTATTTCACAGTCTTTTACTACAGAAAATATTTTTTGTTACTCTGAATTTAGAAGCGGCCAATAAAAACAGAGAAAATAAAAATCGATAATTTTCGGACTGTGCCAATTGGTTACTAATCGACCAGATATTTTTTGTCTATTAGATATGCTATAAAAGCTGGTAATTATACAATTCGACCATTGTAAATACCCGACAAATTCCGCAAGGCCGACGAGGTCGATGTTTTTCGCTGATAAGAAAAAAAATGTTTGTTCAGGTAATTTTCGAGATATTTTTTCTTTCTGAATGCACATTTTAAAGTATTTTATATTCTTTGTCCGTTTGATCTATTACACTAATCGCACGTGTCGAAGTTTTGTTTCTTGTAGTTTTAAAACATTTTCTTGTTTCTTTGTAGTTGTAATGTAAAATTAGATTAATTTATTAAGTTTGATTATAATGTTTAGTGTAGACTACCAGAAGTAATTTAGTAGTGTTTTTATATTTTATTTGGAAGTTAAGTAGTAGGTGAAGGGGTAATTTGCTTAATTTTTCTTTATGTTTGATTAATTAATAAGTTTGATAATTTGTTTAGTGTAGAATACAAGAAGTAGTTTGTGTAGTGTTCTTGTAAGAGATTATATTCATTTATTTTGTAGTTGAGTAGAAGGGTAAGGTATTTGGGTATTTTTTTCTTTTTGTTTTTCTTCTAATAATTGTAGTAGTGCTTTTAAATAGTGTGATAGATACATTATAATCTTATCATATAATTTTGGTTTTCTGGTAGTTGAATATACGAAAAAAAATCTGATCAAATTTATTTTAAATTAAATTAATCTAGTCTTATTAATCAAATTAAACTAGTCAAATAATATAATTAATATTATTTAATTATAATCAATTAAGCAATCAATTATTAAAAAATATTAATTATTTTGGAAAATAACTTTTGAACTGGAGTATTATTGATAAAATTTAGCCAATTTTTTTTACCCAGTAGCCGTATTTCAATATGATATTATCATTTATCACTGTATAATAACTTTGTTGTGGCAGAAAAATATACCAGTTACTTTCAAAATATTATTTCTTTTCAAATGTCACAAAAGTATTAATTTTTGCGACGTGATTGACAATATAAAAGTCATTTTAACGCCTAGGCATAAAAGTAAAGCACTTTTTCGCCGAAGCATAAAAGTATGAAAATATATTATTAAAATGACATAAGTCTCAAATTCAACTAGCCGTAACCATAGTTTCCCGATATATAATTACTCATGGTACAAAGAAAACTTGAAAACAAGGTATGATCGATAGCGACTCCAATTTCGTTCAGTTTGCGCATATCGCCTGTGACGCCATATGCCATACAAAATAATATCCTTATTGTTCAATTGCCACTAATAAAAAAAGACTTAAAATAGGGAAGAATTCGGACATTAGGCATTAAGTTATGTAAAATCATCGAGACTGACATTTGAAAAGTTATGACACATTATAAACATTTATTATGTACTTTGAATAAGAAGACTAAGGAAGGAGCATAATGCTATCCATGTATTCATGCATGGTGGGCGGAAAAAGCTCTCTAGGGTGGGGATCCTTGACAGTTCTGTTTGACGATTCATTTGACACATTTGAATTTGATTTGAAATTTTGTGGATTTGTCAGTCTTTACGGAGCTTATTTTATGTTATTTATTATTTATTCTACTACTGATAGTTGTATAAAGGTAGTAAATCTAGATGGAAATTGTGGCAGAACTTAAATTAACAGTGACATTATCGCGATTTATCGAAAAAGACTCTCAAATAGTTGGTTGTGTAACGTGCGGTAGATCTCGGCAAAAATTGAGTGAAATAATGGAACAACATTTCGCCAGTAAGTGACTATATAATATACATACGTGTAGTAAACCGATCATTTATGAAATTCACTTAAATTAACTAAATTATATATTTTCTTGCATTTTAACTTTTTTTTACTACTTGTCAAAGATCAGATGTCAAAGAATTTTGATACGTTAATTTGACTTACCTACTTCAGTAGCGTATCGGATGTTTGTGTTAATAAATACTTATTATAACTTATCTATTTTTATTAGAATTATATATTTTCATAACAATTTTAATAACTACCAACCTTTATTCACAACGTAAAATAAAATAACACATTATTGAGTCTACCCCACGTCTACCCTACATCATAGTTTTACATTTTTTAAATAAAATTAGAACGGTACTGATAAACCGGAATTTAAGTCGGCCATATTTGAGGCCCATCGCAGTGTACCTAAGATTTTTGATATGCTCCTTCCTTAGTCTTCTTATTCAAAGATTATGTATCATCTGTTTGAAAATTTGAAATTGGCGCGTGGAGCTTGCCGACCAATAGTGCCGTTTATCACCTGTGATGTGGTGACCAACCTGTGATGTGGTGATCATACCTTGTTTTCTTTGTATCATGATAATTACTTACAAGGTATGAGTTTTAAATCTTTTTATATTATTTGGAACGTTTGAAATTGTTTAAAAAATTATTTGTGGCGTTTAAAAAAAATAGCATGCCCTATTCGGAGTAAAAATTACTTTTTGTGCTTCGGCTGTATGTGAAACGTACAGTCTCGCCACGAAAAGTGTCATTTTTTCTCCTAATAAAACAATATACTAGAAAGTTTTATGGTTTAACGGGCTTTGTGAGTTAAAACATAATGATATTTTCAGTTTCTATAATTCTTGATCGAAAATAAACGGCGTCAGTGATGGCTATGAAATGAAGATCGCTGTCATTTTATATGTAAATTTATATGGGAAATGTCGTCGATCGTCATTTCCCAGCCAACTGGACGCCGTTTTTTTTCATATGGTACAAAGTTAAAACAAATTTGACTCTGATCATGTTTTACGCTAAGAAATATTTATTTCGTGTAATAAAGATTTAAATGGTGTATTAAGTACATAATATTTATTTAAATGTCAAATAATATTATTGAAGCAAGTGCCAAGTTTTATTTTTAATTAAGAAAAAATTTAATCAAGAATGTATAAAAGTTTTGTTTTTAAGAAAAAATTATCGTAAATTCGTAAAACCTCAATTTAGAATAAAATGATCTAAGAATGAAATAAAATTTTATAGCCCTGTGTCAAATCGAAATAAAGTAAGTGTATGTAACTTTTTTTAAATATTAATAATTACCAGTAATAAGCATTAATGTACCAACATATTGAAATAATAATTTCTTTGTTAATACGGTTTAGAATCCTTAAAATAACAGAAAAAATAATCGAAAATCAACAATGAAACAATAGTTTTGTTTAAATTTATTATTTTTTATCAGTTGAGCCCTATTATAGTTCGCAAAAATCCGAGCTATATTATTACATTACTCTGAGGGAAATACCGCAAATAATCGATATTTTTGACTCCGCCCCTAATCACATGCTTAATTCCTTTAAAGCTTCACGATTTGTTCACCAGAGGCAGCACATTTTGTCGAGAGGTTGATCAACTTTAAGAATATATAAACAAGGTTAGTACCTAAATATAGCCAACTGTACATGTATTATGCTTAGTTTTTATTTTTATGATTTTATTCATGAATTGTGTTGTTAATTTTTTTCCGAAAAAATGAGGTGACCCTTTTATTTTTATCATAACTCCGCGCGTTTTTGAACTACGAACTTTTTTGAAAAAGCGTTTAAAAGGTCTTTTCAAGCACTTTAAAAACGGTCATATTCATTTTCTTTGAAAAATGTGTTTTTTCGCCAATATTTTACAGTAAAAATTTATTTTTCGAAAAATAAAAAATCACCTTTACAGAGTGATAATTCGGCTATTATTACACCTACGGTAATCAACAAGAAATGTATCGTTTAGTTGTTCGAGTTATTTATAAAAAATAGCAGAAAAATATGCAGTTTTTAGATGAAAAAAAAAACATTTTCAATCCTAAATAACTCGGAAAATATTAATTTTCTGAAAAAATGTTATAAATTTTTTGCTTAGAATTCATCCCTGTATTGATTTTTACAATTAAAATGGGTGATTTATTTTTCATTCCCGAGAAGGGGTGGTACTCACCCCCAGGGTGAAAACACACATCGCTACTATGTAACTTTTGTTTCTTACATATATCTCTATTCACTGTTAAAATTTCACGCCAATCGGTGTAGGTGTTTAGAATTCGGACCCTAAGCTTACTGGCCTATAAGTCGGTCAAACAACAGTGAATTAAATGAACTAAACGAACTAATCATTTTAGTGAACGGGATTGAAAAATGGAAATCAGTACAGTGAACTAAACTTCCCATCTCTAATACGCGCGAAAATTTCAACCAGCGAGCAAATACGCGTCAATCCGCCTGTATGTGAGGCCACTTCCATTTACTTCAATGCATTTAAACGCTACGCGGTCCTCTCCGCTCTGCTTGTCGCCTCATGTGGGGCCACGCACTAAGCTTGGTGCATTTCAATCGATTTTTAAAATATCGACAGCAGCGCTCGGTACGACAGAAATCAGAACTGTAAGGCTAACTTTATTTCACGCCGTCTCGGTTATCGTTCATGTTAATTGCATTGAAATAATTAAAATCGTGGCTATTAAGCCTAGGTGGCTAATTAAGATGTAAGTATTTTGGTTTTTAATAGTGCAGTTATTGAAACTAAAATTCTCAGGTACGAAGTTTGTGTGATGTACGAACAGAATTTATAGCATTTATGGTATTAGAATAAAAAGTTACTTAAGCTCATGAATCAGCGAAAAATCCATTCCCAAACAAGAGGCCAAACCACCATGTGGGTTCATCTTTAGTTGCTGCCACTATACCGTAGTTTATGAACAAAAAAAGGCAAAGAAACATTTTTTTATCATTGATTTTTCGCGAAAAAATGAACTAAGATACTAACCTTTGAACTTCTACCGTTCCTAGCGTTTCATACGCAAATTCGCACTTTTCATCAATTTTAATAGCGTCGCGCATCAGCTGGACGGCATTTTCGATTTCTCCTTTCCACTGCAATAAAAGTAATCCCCTGTGTACATACACAGAAGCGTTAGTAGAGTCGATTTTCATAGCTTTCTGGTATAAGTCTTCGGCCGATGAAAATTCTTGACGTTCCGTCTGAACCTGAATATAAACGAAGTTTTCTAAACATATATCACAGGGTAACATTATACTTGAAACTTACAAGCTGAAGTCATGACTTTATCTCTTTAAAGAAAAAAATAATGAAGCAATATACACACACACACACACACACACACACAGGGTGCACCAAAAAGTTTACAACAAAAGGAATATTTATATTACTGAACAAAAAGTTGATAGGGAGTTTCTTTAGCATATCTGGTAACAAAAAAATAATTTTGATAATGTCATGAGACAAGTGTCATGGTGGCAAATTATAATAATCCTCATATAATCCTGCATAAATATACAAAAAGTGGGACTACATAACACAAAAAAAGTGAAAGAGAAAAGTTGTTTGGAATTTGGTTTAATATTTATGTACCAAGTTGCTACCCATAAATAATCAAAGATAAAAAAAAGTATTTTTCCCATGTGAGACAGAAGACAAAGCCGAATCTCATAAAAATAATTTCTAATGCAGTTGTTTACTTATTTATCATATATATATACTCTGTTTTTTTTTATTCAGGTAAGATTTCGACAGACGATGACAAGCAGATGACGTCCACAACATCCATTTATTTCACTAAAAAAAGTTTCTAATATTTTTTAAGTTAACGATGAATGGGTTTATATATAAATCCATCATGGCGTCGTCTCTTGTTCTTTTTAACCAGTTTTATTGTTTTTTTTCAAAAATGACAGATCATATTTCAATTTTATTTGTTTGCGTATGAACTCGACTTAAGATTTTTGAGGCTTGTCACACTCTTGCCAAATTATAGGTTATAATTTAGAGACAACTGACGTTAAAAGCATTGTTTATATGTCAACCATAACCAACGGTTGTTCGCCCGAAATTGGCTCTAGTTACGAATTACTTTTGCATTTTGGTTCGTGTTATTAGTTGTGTGTTTTGAAGTTAAGTGGAGAACAAATCGGGGAAAATTAACTGTAGACCCAGATCACAGTTTATAGTTAATATTCGATGCCAAGAAAGCCACCAATAGCCACCAATAAAGTTTGTACCATCTTGTATAATATGGTACTAAAAACTGGAGTAGCTGTAAAATAACGATATTACACGATAGTTAAATAATGGATTTTATAGTACTGCAGAGATATCATGTCAAAAGATACTAGTTTAAAAAAAAATAAGATTAAAGTTAATTAATCAACTTTTAAGGTATAAAATTCATAATAACTAATATATAAGTTATATTGATAAATGTAGGAAGTTTCTTGAAGTTTGAAGGTAGCTCTTTTTAATATTTTTTTGGTATGTGATGTTTTGTTTCAAATACACTCTTGTTTTATTATATTCGGTGCCAAGAAAGCCACCAATAAAGTTTGTACCATTTTTTTTTTCTTATTTGTTTTGTATCAACACATACTGTAATTAAAAAAAAATGACTCAATTAGATTTTTTTTTCAGTTTTATACAGTTTTTTTACAATATTTTGAAGTAATTACTTGTCACTCAAATTTTAGTTATATTAATTTCATGCTACGCGTTCCAATTGTACCAACATATTTCTTTGTAAAATAAAATAAACTACTTTGAAATTAAAATGACAGACACGTCTATCACTGTCAAGGATTTTGTCGCTGGACGGACTATACATAGTTTAGTACACAATATACAGGGTGATTCAGGTTTTACTAGAAAAACTTCAGGTATCTCGATAGAACTAACTGAAATAATGATAGTTTGTATTATAAACCATACTCCTAAAACGCTTCCGCTTGGAGTAAAATGGCGCTAAAATTTGAATTATTTTTCATATGGCATGCTGCTAATTAAGTAACATTTTTCGAACGCAGCTGAGCTATGTCCGGAATTTTGTGGAATATCTCGAAAACTAAGCGACATATCAAAAAAATTTAAGAACAAGAAAAGTTAGTAAAAAGATGGAAGGTATCAGAAGAAAATACAAATTTATCCAGTGGCGTGCGACAAAAAAGTTCGACAAGGTTCCGTGCAGTTGACACTAACAAAAAACGTATAGCAATTAATCCAATTTTTTTCACACATATCAGCCACGTTGCCCTTAGTATTTAACCAAACACTTGCGTATTTAGATCCTCTGGCTTACAAGTAATAAAATAAAAACCGAAAAATAATTTAAATTTTAGCGCCATTTTACTCCAAGCGGAAGCGTTTTTGGAGTATGGTTTATAATTCAAACTATCATTATTTCGGTTAGTTCTATCGATACCTGCAGTTATTCTAGTAAAATCTGAATCACCCTGTATAGTGTCCTGTCCCTGAAATATTACAAAAAAATAAATTTGCCATTTTACTCCAAGCGGAAGCGTTTTTGGAGTATGGTTTATAATTCAAACTATCATTATTTCGGTTAGTTCTATCGATACCTGCAGTTATTCTAGTAAAATCTGAATCACCCTGTATAGTGTCCTGTTCCTGAAATATTACAAAAAAAATAAATTTGCCATTTTACTCCAAGCGGAAGCGTTTTTGCAGTACGGTTTATAATTCAAACTATCATTATTTCAGTTAGTTCTATCGACACCTGCAGTTATTCTAGTAAAATCTGAATCACCCTGTATAGTGTCCTGTCCCTGAAATATTACAAAAAAAATAAATTTTCTATTAAACTTTTTTAAAAACTCAATATGTAATCAGAAAAATCCAGTTTGTTGCAAACTTTTTGGCACACTCTGTTGGACAATTATTATTTGTACACAATGTGTCATATTATACCATATGATCTAGGATTATACCTTACAGATCGACAAGTTTAAAATAAATAGTTACTTGAGCAAATAAAATGTACGTTTCCGCGCAGCTAGGGAATTTCTCGATGGCGTTCCTGAAATCCTCCAGACTGCGCATTAGGAGGACGGCGTTCTGTGTTTGCATCGCGTGTCTGTAGTCAGTGTAACATTTCTGAACTACCGCGATCGGGAAGTTGGGATTCAGTTCCACTGCTTTTTCGAAATCGCTACGCGCCTCTTCAGTCTTTTCCATCAACAATTTCACCTGACCGCGGTGATGGAAAACATCTAAAATTATGAAGAAGCGTCTAATTTTTTTCTAGAGCGTTTTAAATAATTCTTCTGTACAGTTTAACATACACCCTTGTTTGTTTTGTATTAACACATACCGTAAATTTTTATTTTGAAGTACAATAACTCGATTAGATTTAAACTTTTCAGTTTTATACATTTTTTTATAATATTTTGAAGTAATTATTTGGCACTAAAATTTTAAATATATTAATTTCTTTCTTTACGTTCCAATTGCACCATCTTAATTCTTTATAAAATAAACTAAACTACTTTGAAATTAAAATAACAGACATATATCTATCATTGTAAACGATTTTGTCTTTGGACAGACTATAGTTTTTCTCAAGGTTTTTCTAACATTTAACAAAATGTTTGATAGTTTTCAAAAGTGAGTTTTTTTAGTGACTCGAATTAAATTTTGAGGGTAACAGTTACTATAAGTCCTACATATTTTAATGCTAAAAAAGTGTCGATAAATTCATCAGGGACGTGCATATGGGTTATCACTGGAATATTTTTTAAAGAAAACATGTGCGCCACTGACTTTTTTCTTTTGATATCAAAATTGTGTAGGCTGTTTAGTGCCAATTAAAACTTATTTCTTGAGTTTTTGTCGAATTCGGTCTCCTTGATGAGATAAAAGCAATTTTATTAATCACAATTAATAAAATTAACATAAAATTAATAAATTATTTATTTTACCTAATTTATTATTAAATATTATTACTATTAGTCCAACATAGAGCAATTTCAAATAAAAAATAATAGTATTTAAGACAATTACAATAGTATTTAAGAGAATTACAAAAAAAAACTAATTTTAAAAAGTTTTAACATCCTGTAACTCTAAAACTATGCATTTACATACCCATGTTTATAGGAACTTTTTTTCATATTTTTTGATAAGGAATCAATGAGTACTTATTTAGAACTTTCACAAGTTAATGATATAATTTTTTTTAAAGGTTGCTACCTGACTTGGGTCATCAAGGAGGCCAAAATCGACAAATTATCAAGAGACAACATTTAATTGGCATTAAACTGCTTACACTATTTCGCTAACAAAAGAAAAAAAAGTTAGTGGCGTACGTGCTTTTTCCTGGTGAATAGGTCAACACTTTTTTAGCTTTAAAATATGTCCCATTTATAGTAACATTTACTTAACACCCTGTAGCTACGAAACAAAGCAGAATTGAACCTATGTTGATATGAAAAATAAATCTTGTTTTTACGTGAGGAATCTCCCGACGAGAGATGGCACGTTTTTTGAAAAACCCTGTAGAACAAATGTAGTAAAGCTGGAACTGGAATATAACTATTACAAATATGATGACAGTATACATACTGCATAATACATATCTGACTACACCTCAACATAATACATACCTGAAACTTCAATACCCAAACTAGCAGCTTTATCAAAATCATCCAGACACTCATCTAATTGTTCTGTTTGCATATTAATTGATGCTCTCTTTATCAATGCGTTAACTTTAATTTTAAGATCAGCTTCTTCAGCATTTATTATATTACTTAAGTCCTCTACTGCTTCTTTAAACTGACCAGTGAGGAAATTGAAAGATGCTCTCAAAGAAAGTGCCTCATTTTTGAAATTTGACTCTGCCTCACTTAAATTCAATTCTTCTGTACATGCGGGAATAATTTCCTCATATCGTTCTGTTGCAAAAGCCAGTTTGGCTTTTAAGAAACCTTAAAGAGAAGGACCAATAGAATAATGTATTAGATAAGTAGATAACTCTGGATTAAATATCTGTATTATAAAGAAAATAATTAATAAAACTACTTTATATATTACTGAAGTACCTTTTAATTCTCCTTGTCCTAATGGCTGTGTCGTTTCTAATAACTTTTTATAGACAGGATCCTCAGAAAATGAGGCAAAATATGTTTTGATGAAGTTCTTAGATGGAATTACTGGCACTCTATTTTTCATGGCTTCAGAAGCATTTTTCTTACCCAATTCTTTTAGAACTCTATCAGCCATTAACAATGCACTCTGATTTCCAAAGTTCTGAAGTAAACAAACAGATGTAACATCATCTAAAGCATTCTCCCAGTCTTTTATGATCTCATATGCTTTTGCTCTTCTAAAAATTGATTTTCTCTTTAGAAAAGAGAATGTTTTAAAATACCAAGAGTTCTTATTACCTGTATAATGCTTTTTCATATTTATGATTTAGCTCAATAGCTTTATCACAATCGGAAATCACCGCACTCCATTTCTTCAGTTGTTCATAAGCTGCTGCTCTATTTTGATAGTAAGTTGCTAAGTCTGTTTTGTACTCTTGTGGGATGGTGTCAATGGCTTTATTGTAAGAAGCAATCGCTTCGTCGTATTTACCTCGCTTGAATAGCTCGTTTCCTTCGGTTTTATATCTTTGAGCCCGTTGAAAAGGGGTTTCTTCCTTTTCAACGGGTGTTTCTTCTACTGCATGTAAAGTTTGATTTTTACTAGATCTCATATACCAATATGTTAGTCCTATAGCCCCGGCCACACCTAATCCTAGAGCGATCTGCCATTTTAGAGATGATAAGCCACCCGGAGAGCTTGACATTATTCTGTAATTTGAATAGATAACCGGCGGAATTAATTTAGGAATAATTGAAATTGGAAATTAGAGAAGTCGAGGAGGTTAAGTGCGGTATCTTGACAGATTTGTCATGACATGATAACAATATTAACAATGTTGCCAGTTCTATCCCCACAGATTCAGAGAACTTATGTCGTCAACGTCAATGAGCTATGGTAGACAAGTGTCTTTTTGTATAGTGCCGGAACTTTATTTCCTCAAAGGCACAAAATCCAAATTCATAAAATCAAAAATAGTTACTTTAATAAATTGAAGCATTTGTCTATAAGCACCATAGATAAGCACAAATAAAAAGTACACAAACAAATTATGTAATTCCATACATTTGTTGATATTTTAATCTTAATCACAATTAAGAATAATTATTGTACAATGCAAAGAAATTGGTAGAAAATGCGTATTGATAGCCACTATGATAGCCACTCTCCTTCCAAACCCAAACCATTTCTAAATTTTCTAACCTTAAATTTGATCTAAAATCAGGTAAATTTTCTTGCAAAATATTTTTTTCAAAAATAATGAATCATTTAAAATCAAATAATAGTAACTATATATTTCATTTGCCTGAAATATTACGGCAAGACGACGAAGAAATATTGCATGCACTAGAAAATAAAACTAATGCTGTTGTTAAGAATATTTATAATGTTGAGTATGTACAATCAGAAATTGAGAATTTTTTGCGATTATTTAACAGTTCTTGTCGATTGTCTCTCTTAAATTGCAACGAAAATGAAAGGGAGAACTTTACATTCTTACTATTGCTTTTGGAAAACAGTGTGAAATCTGCATTAAAAGAATTACACCATAACAATAAAATAAAATCATATAGTTTCAGGTGAGATCTACAATTCCTCTTAAATTTTATACTGTTGAATCTATCCATTATGTGTTTTTTTACATATTTATCTGCAATGTTTTATCTGTATGCATTGTTTCAATATAAATCAATTTGATAAGATAACATTATTATAATTAAGAAAATTATTGTTGTTTTAGATTTATACAAATTTTTTCTAATACAGTTATTATTTATCTCAGGTGTCCTATATGTGAGGATGTGATAACAACAAAGTCAAATGAAAATATTTGGGAAACGCTACAAAGTCATCATCATTTCGAAGACTTATATTTTCAATTTTTAACTGAAGGTTGCACTGGTTTTCAACAAGATACTGACACAATGGACTGTAATGAAGCAGATTCAACTATGAATAATTCATTTGGAGATAGTGATACAGAGTATTCAGAAGCTATTCCAACAACCAGTGGTGAACAAGTAAGTTTATAAAATAAACAAAGCAACCCAGTGTTCTGAAAAAGGTCAAGATCAGATTTTCTCATTATTAGTGTGGTAAAATATGGTAAATGGTCCGCGCGGACTTTAAATCACTTTCAAAAATGTTTATAGGGAATATTCGTTTGTGCTTCTAAGCGAATGTTCCGGCACATTCTTCCTGAAGGTTCCTCGAACATTCGAGAATGGAAACATTCTCTCTATTCTCTCTCTCTCTCTGTCTTTATTCCTACAAGAGGAATGTAGTGGTCAGGTGATGTGTGAGGTTTGTCTCCATAATATCCTGTCTTGTGCTTCATGAACAAGCGTGTGCAGTGGCTTGTGGGTGATCTTTGATAGCTGGTTTTTACAACTATGATAGATGAATGTGATTCAACAGTCTCATCGGGTTTTACCCGCCTACTGTTGATTTTTATAATAATAATAAAAAATAATAATAATCCATCGGGAGGGCGAGCGGTCTCTTGGTCTTCTTCCCGGAACCTTGCCCTGTATAATGAGTTTCTCCATACAGTCAGTATCCCTCCTCATAACGTGACCGAAATATATAAGTACCTATACGTGACTGTATAGAAGTTGAGAGGCGTTCTGTGATGTTCAGTTCTTGGATTATGGATTCATTGGTTCGCCGGGCAGTCCAGGGAATTCTGAGCTAAAATAAACATTTTTGGGCGTGGCACCCAAACATTTTCACCTCCGGCGGTCATTCAGTGCGTCCCGCTTTTTCTTCTTCTAAATCTGGCAACCCTGTCCAGGACTCGGAGCCATACATTAATATAGGAAATATTAGGCAGTGAACAAGCCTTTTTTTTAAGCGTTTAGATATGTTTTTGTCTCGCCATATCTTTGAGAGTTTTCGCACTGCCACTCTTGTCATTTCACATCTTCTTATTTCCCCTATGCTCACTACATCAGGTTTGTTGTTGTTTTGCCTGTCGATAATTTTTATTACAACACTAATTCTCTCTATTACAACACTAATAATCATTTAATCTTGTCAATTTCAGAATAATTTGCATTCAGGAAATGAAAAAAATGTAGATGTGAACAGTTTTCGTTTTAATTTTCCTCTCCGCTATGATGAACTGGTCGAATCAAAAGTATATCCTCCAGGTTTAATGTGGGGCATTCGGCGATATGACAAAATTAAGGATTATACCATACAACGATGCGGTCCTTCTAGAGCCTCATGTTTGATCTGTCACTGTGAAATGAACGGTCTAAGAATTAGTAAACATATGCTGATTGGTCACGCTATGGGGCAAAGACACATCAATGCTTCCAAAAGTGAAACAGTCTTAGAAATGTTGCAGTTCTACCACAATTTCTGGCTTAATCAAGAGCCTTTGATACAGACACATCAAGTGTATTTTCGGCCTTACTCTATACCCACCTTCAGATGTGCTCTGTGTCTGGAAATTGTGCATGCAGAAGGTGTGGTTTCTCATATTTTCAGTGACACACATAAGGACTATGTAATACGTAACTACAATAAAAGAGACAGAAAGGAATATTACTTGATTGAACTACAACTTCAATTGTACGGAATTAAAACCGAAAAACAAAATGAGGATGACAAGCAGAATAAAGAGGAAAATAACAAAACAAAGAAGGAAGCTAAAGAGAAAATTAAGAAGAAACAATATACAGATTCAAAAATACCACCAAGTAAGTGAATTATTACCTTGTTAAAGATTCCGTTTCTTATATTTAAATACATGATTTTAATTTAATAACACTTATTTAATTATATAACACTTTCATTAATTTATGAAACAACAAAAAACTACAATACACTGGATGCGCGTTTCGCTAACCAATTTAGCATCATCAGCAGATGACTAAAACAAAACTCAAAATAAAGTATTAAAACCTTTGGTGTTACAACAGCAAAATAAAACACTACATCGCCACAGTACACTAAAACACTTACATATAATTGAGCGTTTATATACTCGCTCAATTGGTTCCGAGTAGGCATGGCCAAAAACTAGCCAAGCGATATAATATACGATATAGAATACCACCGAGCGTATAATAACAATAATTAGAAAATTCGCTCGAGTACTCGATTATTGAAATAACCAACATCGCTCGATTATGAACGAGCGATGCAAGTGACGACTTACAAGCGACGAACGTAAGCCATCCTGGAATGAAATAAATTGAAATCCGATTTTAATGTCACATACTCGATACAAAGCCGAGCGAATTTTCTACATAGGTACATTGCTGGTAGCAAATTTTTACGACGTTATAGTTTGCGTTACAAAATGTTACGGCCTACATCGACAATACTACTTCAAAGTAAACTAAATCAAGCGTTTCCTCGTCGTTCGTCGCTTGCTACCGGCCATTCATCGGTAGAATATTTCCAATAGGCCATTCGCCGGAAAGAATATGTGCTCTGCGCACGCAACTTACTGCTTGGCGTTACGAGTTGCAAGTACAAGCGACGACGGGGGAAAAACCGTATTTTTAATACGAGCGAAATTTCGTTTTGAATTATTGCTTTAGTTTTATTAGGTAATTTGATATTTGAGTATATTATTTAAGGATTAGTTTTAATTAAATAAATATGGCCCAAAATATGGATTCCACCTCTTCCTATACTAAAGAACCTATAAAGAGTCTTAGGTTTACAGCAGATGACGACTTAGCCCTTCTAAGAGAATTTGTTGCTTGTTGTCCTAAACCCATTGGCAGACGTTGACCAATAAAGCACTGGAAATAAGCACTTTAGCCCTTTAGTTTTAAAATACCTAGTAAACAAAACAATTTCAAAGTTTTAAATTCAAAGTTAGGTTAAGTTTAAATAGCGGACGCGACGCGATCAGAATTCTTTCCGATCCGATAACTATAAATGAAGAGAGTTAATACCACCTCACGTAAAGGAAATAACACCTGGCCTTATTAACGTCCATGCACGCTATTCGGTTTAGCGATATCTCTCTATTACGCTGTTTATTGTTATTTTACGCGAGTTTATTTTTGCGCACAGGAAATTTGACTCGTTTGCACATCGTCATAAAAAACAATTTTCGTACCACGAATTAGGGACATGATTTTTATCTGTATACTTATAGGATACCTAATCTGTGGCTGTTTATTTAAATGTTTTTTGTCCGTGTTCCTTTCATAGACAGTTGTTTTCCTGTATATTACCACGATTCTGAACCGTCCTAGAATTAGATGCGTATGCGCAGAAGGAAATATGAAGACATTATTTCATTTGCGCATGCGCTGGAGAGTTCTAGGACGATTCAGAATCGATAATAACAGGAAAACGAACAGACCTATAGACACATATCCAGTAACGTGTATTTTACCACAATAATTTTTTTTTGTCAAATTATGTCAAAAAGGATACTGGAAATGCTGAAGAAAATCTACATAAACTTTGTTCAGTACCTTAATTCAATAATACAAAAATCCCATTTCTAGCGAAGTTTTCGACAAACGTTTTTCGAAATTTAAATTGTTTTCTGTTAATTGATTTTACAAACTAAACACCATATGTTTAGTTTGTATTTGAAAATATCTATTCCAGGATCAGTCAACAGAAGTTCATCATTTATCCAGAACCAGAAAATTATGAATTATTACCTACACAAATTTCGTGCTGCATCTCAAACCCTCGGATACGACACATGTTTTTCGATATTAAAAATTTAAGTACGAGCCCTAACAACTATATGTTGGGATAAGGTCATATTTTGGAATTTTTGCGCTGGCTTTTCAAAATGACTCAAAAATATATGTTTAATTTTTTAAATATAAACATAGCCATATATCCTAAACAACTTGACAATATTTTTATGAATTTGTAAATCAATCCATATTTACAGTAGTGGATTTTGTTTATAAAGGACAAATTTGCCTGACAACTAAATGTTGGGGCAAGTATTTTTAAATAATTAATATCATAGGCGGCTTTGCTATAAACGTCACAAATGTCGCAAACTGTTTACTTCAGCATTGACAGCTTGTAAGTTACTCGATACTTTGAGTAGTGAGACTTACTGTAAGTAATTTTAATTTTTTTAATTTTCAATTTTGTTAATTTAATCCAAAGTAATGGTCCGTGGAAAAGCTACAAATCAAAAACTACGCGAAATTATCATTCGTACAGTACGGGAAAAACAATTCGAAAAATTTCTGATGATTTAAGTATTCCAAAAACACGGTCTTTAATATAGTAAAAAATACGGCGAATCGGCCAGTGTAGGCGTTAGAGGTAAAACTTCGGGAAGGCCAAAAGTTGTATCTCAGAGAGATTTACGAAATTTAGTAAAATTTGCAAGTCTGCGAGAAGAGGTACTCTTCGCGAAGTAACAGTTAAATGGAATACTGTAACTGGATTAAATATATCAAGAGAATGTTGCCGAAAATAAATGCGGTCTGGGGTTTTACAAGGTAAACTTTATTTTGTGTGGATAATCAATTACCTGAAGATTATTGATACAAATTCTTATTTAGGCCAAAGAAAAACCGCTACTGACAGAAATTCAAAAAAAAATTACTACAATTGGGCAAAATCTAAATTATCGTGGACACAAAATTATTGGAATAAGGTCATATTTAGCGATGAGTCTAAATTTGATGTTTGCGTTGGAGATAATCGAAAACGAATAATACGAAATAAAGCAGAAGCCTTTCATAAAGATTGCTTAAAGAGGATTGTTAAATTTCCTAAGGGGATTATGGTTTGGGGTTGCATGTCAGCAAGAGGTTTGGGCAAATTGAATTTTATAGATGGCACTGTTAACGCCCAAAAATATCAACATATACTTGAGACCTCACGTTTGCCTAGTGCTCAAGGATTGTTTCCAAACGAAGACTATATTTTCCAACAAGATGGAACATCGTGCCATTCAGCAAAATTGACTAAAAATTGGTTCGGTAATAATAATATAAAAGTTCTATCCCATCCTGCAAGTAGTCCGGACCTCAATGTTATAGATATTGCGTGGCATAAAATGAAGCAATATTTAAGAAACCACCCTCAACGAACAATTTTTGATTTGCGGACAAAACTGCAGGAAATTTGGGATAATTTTTCTCCTCAAATGTGCCAATCTTTGGTAAATACAATGCAATTAAGAGTTCAGGCAGTTGTTAAGGCGAAAGGTGATGTAACTCCGTATTAAACAAATTTCTTGTGTTACTGTCCCAATATATAGTTGTCAGCAAATCTGGCTTGATTTTGGCAAAGTAAGCTATTATGAAAAGTGATTTGTTTGCAAAGTTTAAAAATATAGTAAAATTGTCTAGATCATATTGTAATGTTTGAATTTAGAATAATAAACAAAATAAATTGAGTCGTTTTAACAAATTACTATATTTATTGCTTGTCCCAACATATAGTTGTTAGGGCTCGTATTGATTTATATTGACTAAACCAAACATTATATGCGATACGCGATAAACGATACAAAAACCCAGATTGTTTTATAATTTGAGTTTTTATAAACACCCAAACTGCCCAAACGGCGAAATTTTTCCAGCGATGTGACTGAAATCCTGTAATATATTTATTTCATTTTATTTATTTATTTTATTTAACATACTCCAGCAGTATCAGCATACTTAACATACTTCAACAGCAAGCGCCAATTACAGAATGGGTCGTACTGTATCAATTACAAATTAAAAATAAAAAATTTATAGATCATAAAACAAGTTAATTATAGTAAAAAGTACAAAAAAAAATATATGCATAAGTAAAAAACAAACAAACTGTTAGATCAGATCAATAAAATTGACACAAAAAAATGATAAAAGGGGATGTTAGCCGATACTAGTAATTAAATCTGAAAGCCGGACGCTAAAAAATATATCCAAACTGCTCTGGCGTTGATTGTAGGCTAGTTGCATTCTATTAACTGGAGAGTTTTTGTTGATGTTAGTCCCTACAAGTGCCGACATAAAATGTATTGAAGTGTGGAGCTGCTGCTCACGGAACAAAAATATTCAGCCTGTTGAGAATATCTGAGCAGACTATTTTATTATGAATAACACCAAATAGCGTCTTAATGTCAAATATTCCGCGGCGATCCACTAAAGAAGAAAACAAATGACATTCCAAGAGTTCCTCTTAAGAAACTTCTTAAATAAAAACAAAACATTTATATAGAAATAATGCACTCGATATTTCTTAATCAACTATATTGATTCTCAACTAATAAACAATATTACAAATTACAATAATAACACATAGGCATATATATAATATATCATTGGATTTAACAACTTATTGCCCTGCGGAGTTTATACATTTTGTAGGGACCATTTAGACATACTACTATAATATTGTAAAGTCCTAAAATTAAGAAATTGCCGCTTATCAAGTTTTTCCCCTGGACCCTTCAATTTCAATCTTTTGTTATTGACGTTCATTTGATAAGCCTATTTATCACAAATAACTTTTCATTATCACTAGTACATGATAATACACAATGGTGTAGATTATATTAAGTTGTTGTTTATGAATAACTTCAACAAAAGAAATTCGTTGTTAGTGTATGCTGTTATTTTATAAAATAAAATGATGGTAAATAGTAGAGTTTTTTACAACAGCCGTCAAAATGTATACCAAAGTAGGTGAAATATTTGTGCAATGAACTGTTTTTGCAAGAAAATTTGTCTAAATGGTGTAACTAACCCGA